ACCGTGTTCTGATAATCTCGTACTCACGACCCGCAGTTTGGTTGTCATGCAGCACCTCTAGCACAGGAAACCTTCTACAAGTACTGCAGGGGCGGGCCTAGTATTATTGTGATCAACTGGGCGCCGAACAGCTAGTTTATGGTGCATTGATGAGTCACCTTGATCTTTGTCCCAATGTATCTTAGTAACCGGGTATTTTCAATACCTGGGATCTATGCGAATTGCAGGTGGTCCCATTGCTGGTACAGCAGTGTAACACTTGCAATTGGCAGATGCAGAGCGGGGTTGGGCGGGTGAGAGGGCAGGGGGAGGTTCATGAAGCGGCAGAGAGAAGAGGAGCAGATGAGTAAAGAGGGCAAGGAAATGTTGGTGGGCTGCACCGCTGAAATGCCAGTTGCTCTGTGTTGAGGTTCGTGTGCCATTTGAACTGCAGTTAAGGACAGAGATCACTGCAGAGGCTGCTTCAGCGATTTGTATCACAAGAATTCTTGGTTTGTCCTCAGACCCAACACAAAAGATGCAGAGGAGGCACTCATCGGGTATTATGGGATGTCACCTGGATAATTCACGTCCTGCTAAGCAGGTAGAGTCTTTCTTGAGGTCAAGACTTTCTGGACAGTATATACGTGTACCTGTCCTGCGTTTGTGCATGCGTGTGCTGACAATTAGAAAGCCGTCTAATCAGTAACGGCGAGGTGGGACAAGTTGAAGCGACGTCTAAATTAAGCTTGATCCAGCCTAGTTTTTAGGTCAGTTATGAGTGTGCAGCATTTGGTGAATAAGCAAAAGCGTGAAACGGCTGATGAGAGATTTCGTGTCACTGTTATTATTTCATGACCACCATGTTCCTTTCATAAAATTAGATGTGTTCGTTTTTATCCTATCCTATCCTAAGGGAATACCGTTGCTCTGCATGTCTTTATTGATGTCCACTGAGTTGTAGTCGCAATCTTGAATCCTGTGTCCTGCTTTCCCTCTGGAGATGAGTAGCGATTGTCTGAACCATTTTTTCTTAAAATATCGTAAAGACAATCGCAATCAGACCCAGGAAATGTGATCAGCACCCATCTTGTGCTCATTCGAAAATTTATCTATATTCACCCTCCACAAATCAATATTTACACTTGCCACGACTTAACCACCTTGCAATTCTGACTCTGCAGTCTTGCAGTGGTGTGTAACTCGGCAATCATTCTCTTGGATCTAGAACATGAACGTGGCCTCTGGCGTGTGTTGTTGATTTTCGCCGCTGGGGCATGCATTTTTAAAGACGGGGGTTCCAAATAGTATGATGCTATTTCTATGGTAACCAGATATTTCATTGGGTACACCTGTAGCTATTTCATAAATTAAGAGCTGTAAGCAGCTCACACACCTGCACCTACGTCACTTCAAATTAAGCCCATCGAAAATTAAACTGAGCATTTTTGTCTGAACTTTCAATAGATTTACATTGCATCTGATCACATTATACAGGTGTACCTTAAGTTGTGAACAGTGCGGGCATGGCTATGTTTTTTTTTTCTAATACACTAATAATGACTCGAACAGAATGTAGCTATGTTGGTGTAGCTTATATTGTGGAGGAGCTCAGATGGCCTGCTCGAATGAGCTGTTCCCATTTTCACTTGACTGACCACAGGCTGCCTTTGGACTCAGCTCCTCTCCCTCTCTTATCTTTCTCTCTTTTGCTTTGCTCTTTCGCTCTTCTCTCACCATCTGCCTTTATGCCTGATCTGCCTACATATCTTCTTACTGTCTCTGGAGAAGACTGGGGGTTGCGGGTTGGAGTGGGAAAACTGAAAAAAGTTGGAAATAGCAGAAATGGGGTGGAGGAAGGAGGAATGTATGAGAACTGACAGAGATTTAACATATTCTGGATGCAGAGTGAGCAGGAAAGTGTATATATATATATATATATATATATATATATATGTGTGTGTGTGTGTGTGTGTGTGTTTTAATGTGATGAAGTATACAGAACATCGATGTGGTGAGATAACATAATTTAAAATGTGGCAGCGTATTGTGGGTAGCACATCTGTCTCATGGTTCTGAACTTTGGATTTTGTAAATATGTGACCTGCAATTGGTTGGTGACGAGATAGATCAATGGATGGAGGTAAGATAGATAGATTCATTGACCTTCCTTGACAACAGCAGCATGTGTTCATGGTTCAATAAAACAATAATACAGTATGTGGCCCTTCAAGTAGTTGTTTCCCAACAAGACCACCATTGTAACAGGTTGGGATATGTTTGAGGGTCAATTTCCAGGTGTGCGGGTTATGAGTCACAGACTACAATTTGTTCGTTCAGTGACTTTCGGCCACGTTGCTGTTGCTGTTGTGCAAGCGGGTCTAACGTATTGATTGGCACTTCCCTTGCTGTCTCCGTGGACCTTTATTCTAAAATGAATCAATTACCTCTCCTTTGCCTTGCTACACTGCTATGGCATTAACCGCACATTTATTTATGCCACACTAAATCCACCTGTCAATGTTTTACTAACAATCACTTGTGTTGTGAGTCATGTGACAAAAGCTGAAAAGATCCAAATAATAAAGTATTGTGTGTCATACAATTTGGAACAGTCTTCCAGAAGATGTGAAACAGGCCTCATCTCCGACCTTTTTCAAATCCAGACTAAAAACAGTTTTATTTAGCTCCGCTTAGGACAATTGAGCGCATTTTGACTTTTGAAGTGAATTGATGAATATTTTCATGTTTTATTCTATTTCCTGTAAGGCACTTTGAATTGCCTTGCGTACAAACTATGCTCAGCAAATAAGCCTGCATGTTCTTGCTTTGATACATTAGGATCAGTCAAAATATTGTCCCGTTACAAAAAAAAAGTGTCCTCAACTCCAAGGTCGAAAACTCTCATTGGTTCCCAGATAAACAGACATACACAAGCTTCCCCTGTCACCACAGAGAGAGTCCATTACTGCCAGGTAATGGGTAAATGTCACAATAGCAGGATGTCATAAAGCTCTGGAGTACTGGAGTGGTCTAATGGGTTTTGTTCAGGTTGAGGTGACACGTGCACACTCCCACACGCACTTGTGCCGTCACACGCTCTTCCAGGAAACAATCTCCCAACAAGTTGATGATGGCGTTTACTCCTTAGCAAATACGGTTGAAGTGTTCACGTGATTTGTGTTAGGGAGCATGTTATGGGAATCGTCTGCCGTTTTTGATTGAAAAACAGAGTGGTAATTGTTGCTGGCATTACTTTTCATGCCCCCAATTCTCCGGGTTTCATAACAGATGCAGATAAATATGTGAGTGCGAAGTTGAAAATGTTTTAATGCACTTAAAGCAATAATACAGCATGAAGTGCGCATAAGAGCATCAAAATTTATGCTTTGCGTTAGCTGAGAGTGTGTATACTCTGACCTTGAATTGTCTCCATTAGTGGCCTATTGTTAAACTAGGTTGGAGGCATCTCACATCGTGCTGGCGTTAGTGTACAGGAGAACGTCACTGTTTGTTGTTGAGTTGGGGGTCTTGTTCAAAAGCATCAGACAGTGTTTAATGATTGTAAATATCTTAGCAAAGTCTTTGCGATAGCACCGCACGTTCTGAAGAAATACACTGTATGATTTCTGCTGGGCAGAGTTTTTCTTTTAAATTGAAACTATCACCGTGACTAACATTTTACAAAAAGACATCTTCGTCAGCTGGGGACTTGGAATGCTCATGCTAGAAACAATGCTACCAACAAAGTAAGATTGCTTCGGTAATATGAGTTTAGCTGTTCACCTACTTAGCGCAGGGGCAGCAAGAAACAATGTCTCAGAGATTGGAAAATCCAGTCATCTAAATTCCTCATATGCCAGAAATTCATCAGATGGTCAAATGCCTGGTCGGAAGCAACCAGACGTCTTTGGCTGCCCCCTGTGCACTGCGGGTTTGTAAAGTTAAAAGTCGGTCACAGATGCAAGCAGAGCGGTAAAGAAAGAGGTAGCTGGCAGTCGTCAAGCAAAACTGCCTTGGGGTGAGGCAGATGGGTGAGCCAACACATAAAAGTGTCACGTGTGCTCATTTGCTTTGTGTGTTGCCTCAGTGATGGAGAAAAAAAAAAGAAAGAGGAGAAAACATCTGGTCTGGTTTGAATATCGACATTCAGCATCCTTTGGTAGCCATTCAATGTTAAGTCTCCTTCCATGCCGCCGGATACAATACATCTTTATTTATATTACGCTTCCACAAGAGCCAACAAAAAACTGGTGGCACAGTTTTCAGCTGGTTAGCATGTCAGCCTCACAGTACAGCGGGTGTGGGTTCAATTTCGAGCTCCTGCCCTCCCGTGTGTAAAGCAGGTTCTCCCCACGCCTGCGCGACTTTTCCCCGGGTACTCCCGTTTCCTCCCACGTTCCAAAAACATGCATGGCAGGTTATCACTCCAAATAGGTGTGATTGTGAGTGCGAATGGTTGTTCGTGTATGTGTGCCTTGCGATTGGCTGGCAACCAGTTCAGGGTGTACCCCGCCTACTGCCCGAAGACGGCTGGGATAGGCTCCAGAACAACCGTGATCCTCGTGCGGTTAAGCGGCTGGGATAATGGATGAATGGATCGATGAGTGAATTAACACCATTCAAAAATTTTCTGGAGATGCCACACCGATTTTTATTAACCGGATTTTTTTATCTTCTAAATGGCGCAAAAACAGCAAATAGCTGCGTTCTTCAGTAAATAAAAGAGAAGTGGCAAGTAAGTGAATTACACAAAATTCTGAAAAAAATAAAATAAAAGCACTTTGAAGGAGCATGTATCAGACTTTCATAACTGCGCAGCCAACCAGAGATTGCACTCACTGGGCCACAGCCCTATTCGAGGCACATGTCAACACACGAATACACTACCGCGTGTGCGCGTGTGGATGCGTGACTTTCAGCTCAAGTACACTTCAGAAAAAGTGTATTTCTTTCCATTTTTACAAGAATATTCGAGCACGACTGACTGACTTCTTTTTTTTTTGTCTTCTCTTCTCCAGTCGTCCGGTACCAGTGTGTTGGTGGACATCGCAGTGATGGGTGAGGCCCATGGATTGATATCAGACTTGCTGGCAGACCCCTCGCTGCCCCCTAACACTTGCAGCTCTCTGAAGGCTGTCAGCAGTCTCCTCAGCACCCAGATTATCCTCCAGCCACTCCATCGGCCCCATGTGCCACCAGTCACACACGCCTGCTCCGACTCAGAGGACGGGACCGATAAAGTAGAAAGACTGGCCATTCCAAAGGTGAGTTTTTTTTTCTTTTCTTCCTCGCCATTCTTAATAGAGATTATTATTACCTTTTTCAGCAGGATCCTGAACTCCGAACCATAGAAAGGAGCAAACTGCCTGCCGATTTTGCCACATTCCACTGATAACATGCTTCTTGGTCTAGCGACTCGTATGAAAGAACGGAAAAATGGAACGTTGTCATGCGCTTTCAAACTGGGGGCTTTATGTCTGTCTCAGCAGCAAACATTGAGGAGCTAATTTTTATGTCCAGCACAAATCGAGCGCAAAGTGTAGTCTAGCTGTGTGCATAGATGGGGTTATCTTTCTTTAGCTATTTTCATAGATGCGTGCAGGTAGAAATGGGTATTTGCAGCTGTCTTATTTTCCGACCAATGGCAGCAGCTCACCTAATTCCTTTTAAATTTAGAGCAGGAAAGGGAAGCAGTCTTCACGGTGCAAGGACTAGCTGCAGTCCATGCAGGAAATCGTACCTCCAAAGTACATTTAAAATGAACTGCAAGAAGATCTCCACTTGCGAATGATGTAAAATTGTCCACTCCGAAGAGGGCATTTGGAGACCACCTTCAGCCCTCGATCGTGCGTCCGTGTGTGACAATCCCTTCCAACCTTAGTTGTGATGCGCTCAGGCAGCAAGCGCGTGTGCACTCGTTTACAAAGAGAGAGTGACACTGCAAGCCGTGGAGACAAACATTAACAGCCCCTTTGGCTTGCGTAGCATGTCTCTTCGACCTCATGCTACCCGTCCACCCTTTTATCATGCAGCATAAACATTCGCTTTGTTCCCACCGGCTATATGGCACGGAGGCCGAAGACAGCATAGTCACACCAAAAAGGTGCCCCAAACGTAACCTTGTGAGAACAAACCAAATACAATAAAAATGAATTATCGGCAACTTTGTCCATGCATTTGTTTACTCCACCATTTATTTTAGCTTGCTGTACATTCAGCTTCACAGGATAGCTATGAAAGCTGCGCAAACCGTGTGGATTTTTTTTTTTTTTCAAGAGACCCCAATCTAATGTCACTTTATATATCGAGCACTGAATACAACCATAACTGGCACACACCCAAAATGCACATAAGGAACTACACAGGTATCAGCATCAGGCAACAAGAACATGAAAGTGACAAATAATAAATGAACACTAATTTAAAACTGTGCTTTACTGTACATTTTGGGGGATTTTGCGAGGAAGCCACGTGCCCACAGAGAACACTGACATCCTGAGAACATGAAAATTCCACACAGCCACCCTTCACCCTGAATTAAAAAAAAAAAAAAGTTCTTTGTTGTTAACATCCATATGCATGTGTCCACCCCTCTTTGCTGACACAGAATTGAGCCGTAATGGAACTAAACAATGATGCGCATGCCTCTGAAGGGCTTTTTAATGTTTTACAAGGCCAGCGCCTAAAATGTATGCAGGCACTTTAGGCGGCAAGCAAACTAAATAAAGCGTATGATGCAAGGCAAGAATGACCTACCAGGAAAGTAGCTTTAACACTGCATGAGTGCACACAAACATGGAGCTCAATGAAACTGCTGCTTGGCTTTGGCTCGCTGAGAATATATTTGGGATCTCGTTTAGCAACGGGTACATTGACAATTAAGATCGCGACTGCTGCTCTGTTGAATGCAATTGCTTTGAGTGGAGAGCTTTGTTTGCTTCATTTAGCTACTCCCCATGTCTATAAAGGAAATACGATTGGATATGATAGTTTTGTGCTTTTGTGATTAGTTGGCAACCATTGCAGGATGTACACCAAGACGACTGCTCACCCACAACCTGAATGCTAGAAAATTGCCGAAAAAGCAGAATAGAAAATGGGATAAATGGATGGATGTTTGAGGCCTTTACAATAATGACTGGGTGGCGCGGTGGGCCAGTGGTTAGAATGCCGACCTTACAGTGCAGAGGTACCGGGTTCAATTCCAGCTCCGGCCTCCCTATGTGGAGTTTGCATATTCTCCCTGGGCCTGTGTGGGTTTTCTCCGGGTAGTCCGGTTTCCACCCACATTCCAAAAACATGCATGGCAGGCTGATTGAACAGTCCAAATTGTCCCTAGCGCGGATGGTCATTCGTCTCTGTGCCCTGCGATTGGCTAGCAACTGGTTCAGGGTGTCCTACGCCTACTGCCCAAAGACAGCTGGGATAGGCTCCAGCACCCCCCGCGACCCTTGTGAGGATAAAGCGGATTTCGGTATTTTCGATTTTTGCAAGGACCATGGAAGTTGAAACACAAGATTTTCTTTCACAGGCCACAAAAAAACGAAGTGAGTTTGACAGCCGTGCTCTAACACAACTATATCATGATGTGAGATAAAGTAAAAGTCTTCACACCTTTATGAGACACCGGACAGGGACATACAGGAGAGGACACAGGAAGGTGTTTGCCAAGTGATGTGGTTACCTGTTGGTGCTTTATCAGTATATTTGCAATTTATAAGTGTTTTAATGTGTATGTCTATCGGCAGGAAGTTTAAGAGCACATCTTGGACTTAGTGCTTGCCTCATCAGTTTTTCAATTGTGTTTTCTGCATTGGCAGCGTCTTCGGCGAAGCCTTCCCCCAGGGTTGTTGCGGAGAATCTCATCCTCGTGGACCACAACCACATCTGCCACTGGGCTACCTGCCATAGAGCCCGGACCTGTACGAAGAAACCGCTCAGCTAGCATCAAATACACCACAGAAAGGTAATGGCAATATCACATGTAATTTGAGGGTAAGATGATTGCTTTATCTTCCTTTTTTTCCTCATTAATGCAGTGAATCATGGAGAAACTCAGTCATGACAACCATCTCAAAAAGCCGCTCCATGTCTGCCTCGTGTGCCACATCCGTCACATTGAACCACTTCTACAGCAAACCACCGGGAAAATCAGGTGGGCGAAAAGGTCCCGCTATAAGAATATGTTGGGAGAAAATTTGCAATGACTGCGATTGGCTGGCAACCAGTTCAGGGTGTACTCTGCCTACTGCCTGAAGACAGCCGGGATAACCTCCAGCGCGCCCGCGACCCTCCTGAGGATAAGTGGATCAGATGGATGGAATTTGCAATGAGATTGTCGAATGCAGCATCTGTTTGTTCAAACTATTGTAAGGACATACATACGGTGACACACCTCTCAATGAAGTAATTAAAACACAGTTAGGATACTATAGATAGTTGGGATTGGACATTTATGTGCTTCCAACTTTGTGTGAACAGTTTGGGAGGTCCTCCTTTTCCAGTACCTTGATGCAGAAGAAATAAAAAGCCCTGATTTTAAGCCCATTAAATAGCTTTGGGATGAACGAGAATCGCGCAAACAAACCCGAACCTCTCATCTAACATCAGTGACATTTGACCACACCTGTACACTCCCAACATACTGTAGAAAGGCTTCTGTTACTGTGTCACTACCTTGTGGGGACCTGCTGTACTTGTCTATGTAGTGTCATACCACATGTGTTTAATGTAGCGTCATATCATTAATTGCTCCACAAAGTTTGTCATTCTCTCCTTCAGGTTTCATCAACTCCAACATATCACCTTTGAGCTCCCCATGTCCGTCACCACCTGTTCAGGGTACCCCTGTCTCCAGCCCAACTATCAAGACATGTTTAGTTCAGCTTCCTGAGATTTCTGTGCCGCTGACCGAGCAGACCCCGGCTGGCTGTGTGGTCTCCAAGAGTCATCACCGAGCTTTAACACACAGCCAGAGCGCCCCAAGCTCCACCACCCCTCACTGGCGACCGCCATCACTCTGTAGCAGGTAAATATAGCTTTACACACCAATAATAGCAGATTTGTCACATGTATTGTCTGCCAAAAGTCGATGCCAGTTAGTTTAGCAGCTAAAGTTTACAATAGTGTACTGCACACTTTAAGTCTAACTCAAAACTAAAAGTCTAAGTGAAAGACATGGTCAACAAATGATGAAACGTATTTTTTCGCGGAACAAGGTTTGCGAAAGATGAAATGTCCATGTCCATGCAGGACTTCAAAATGATCTTTTGGCCGGTGTTTTAAAGTTAGAATCCATTCATGTGGGATTGCAATATTGACATACATGCTACAAATCTGCAACAAAAGAAGAACGGATACAGTATATGTAAGTAAATCTACTGTAACGGTCTGTGAGGAAATGAGTCGCTTGATTTACCAGCATGAAGAGGACAGGAAATGAGTCAGTAATCAGAGATTGATCAGGATGAAATAATGCGCATTCTCTGCTCTCTTTTTATCAGCTGCGGCAGGCCATTCAACAATCGACTGAACCACGGGGTAGAATCTATGGTCAAGGTAGACCGAATACCTTGTCCAGGTAAACCGAACAACAGACTTATGCTTGCTTACATCTCAGATACTTTTGGCTGTATTTCTCCTCTTAAATAGTTTGTGAGGCGACTAATGATGTCACTGAACAGTTTCATTGTACCAGTGCTGACTGCATGTTCCGTGTTCCTGTCAGAGGAGCGTGCGGTTACCTCATCGGACTATGACAGCACGTATGACAGCACTTATGAGACCAACCACAGTGACAGCAGCGACTTTCTACAGAATGAGGAAGAAGCTGAAGCAGGCAAGAAGCCGTCTGAGGCAAGAGAAGGCTGCCGGGAGTATCCGTCGGAGAGCATCGTTCTTCATCCCCTCCTGCCATCCCCTGAGGTTGGCAAACATGTTTCATTTAATTTGATGATTTGATTTAGTTTGGAGTAGCACAGAGGTCCGCTGGTGAACATGTCTGTTTGACAGTTCTGAGGTTCAGGGTTCAAATCTCAGCTCTGGCCTTTTTTTTATTTTTTATTTTTTTGTGTGGAATTTCCATGTTTTCCCTGTTATTGTGTGGGATTGTCTCCACTAACTCGAGCTTTCTCCCACATTACACAAGCGGGCATATTAGCTTAATCAAAGACTCTAAATTGCCCATAGGTGCAAATATACAGCTGTTGACCAGTCCAGTGTTTTCACCCAAAATCAGGCATGGGGATAAGAATCGGATTCAGGTCTTGCGCTCCTCCACCTCAAATGAGGACCAGCACGTTTGATGGATTTAATTAATTTTACATGTCGTTACTTCTATTGAATTTACATTTCAAATTCATTTCAAGAGACATTGCTTTTGCAATCAAGACAGACAACTTTATTTTGTGCATGTGGTGTATGCACAACCCTGAGACATTCTGTTCAGCATCAGCAACAAACACACATCAAACAATGAAAAATGTAATGACTGTAATTGCATCCCACCATTTCTTTTTAGTTTGTCCTCCATACACAGAACAAGCTAATCCTGGCCCCTGAGCCGCTGGTGATGCCTGGGTTGGAACCTCTCATGAGTCAGCTCGACAAATGGAATTTCCCAATTTTCAGTCTTGTGGAGCGGACACACGGAAAAACAGGTTGCATTCTTAGCCAGGTAAGGACTAATTATCTTTCTAAAATTTTTGTGGCATTTATTTTACGACAACATTGATGGAGAGAAATACTGTATTTAATGTGTGCATTGATGGAAAACACAAACATAAATTACACCAAATTTGACCCAGATTACTTAGTTTAGTAAAGCTGTTTTTTTTTTTCCGGGCAATGTCCTAGGTATCCTACAGGCTTTTCGAAGATGCAGGTTTGTTTGAGACCTTCAAGATTCCTGTCGCAGAGTTCATGAACTACTTTCACGCTTTGGAGAACGGATATAGAGATATCCCATGTGAGTATACGTTCCTGGTGTATTATTGCCAACATTGTTTTAATTGCCTTCTCTGTGAAAAAAAAAACACTTCAAGAGTAGTTGGGAACCTGCAAAAAGGATACATTACATTTCATATCAATAAATAAATAGCATCAACATCATTTGGATGAAACACGTGGATTCAAAATCTACCTTAGGTACAAATGAACAACTTAAACATTATTTCTTTCCGTACACTTTTTGAGTTGTTTTTTATTTTCCAAAAAAAACTGAACATTAATGAAAATATAGGAAATATAAACAGATGTGAAGCCTCAGAATAGTTGAGAGACTGCGGTTTGTACAACTTTTCGATCATGCATTGACTGCCCTCTGCTGCTCATGATAGATCACAACAGGATCCATGCCACTGACGTGCTGCATGCGGTTTGGTACCTCACCACTCAACCCGTGCCTAGACTGCCCACGCTCCCGACTGAGAATGGCATACACACCGGTGAGAAGCATTTCTTTGTCATGTCTAATCACCATCTGCTATTCCACACATTGTCTTAAAAGATGCATTTTCCCTTTTTTAAGTTTTTTTTTTCTCCCCCCTACCTGTAGACCCAGCAAATGGCATAACCCCTGGTGCTACGGCCTTTCTGTCAACCAAGATACACTCTTTGTTGGAGGAAGGCTATGGCTCCTTGTCTTGCCTAATTCCGGGCCTGGAGCTGATGGCCTTGTACGTAGCTGCTGCCATGCACGATTATGACCATCCGGGAAGAACCAATGCCTTTTTAGTAGCAACCAGTGCACCCCAGGTAAATGATTAGGGGACTCTGAAATATCATTTCCTTTGATTTTCTTTGGCTAGTCAAATAAAAGTGAGTGGAAATGATTTTTTTTTCCACTGTAGGCGCTTCTGTACAACGACCGTTCTGTCTTGGAAAACCATCACGCTGCTTCAGCGTGGAACCTCTTCATGTCTCGTCCGGAGTACAACTTCCTGGTTAACCTTGAACATGTTGAGTTCAAACGCTTCCGATTCCTTGTCATTGAAGCCATCTTGGCCACTGACCTAAAAAAACACTTTGACTTCCTTGCAGAGTTCAATGCCAAGGTAAAACAAGACATTTTGGACAATTCTATACTTACATCTGGAGGGGAACAGTTTGGGAAGGGTCCTTTTTTTTGTTTGGATTGAATATGCCCCAGTGTGCGAGGAATAATCTGTAGAGACTTCCTTTGACATGTTTATTGTGGAACAACTTGACGCAAACCTGACCTCTACCCCATATTTCTTTCTATTTTTAAACGATACTTTTTTATTTGTCCGTGTAATGTTGTTTCTCTTATTGAGATCATCCCTAATAAATTGATCAGAGTGACATTCTTCATATATCATACCAGATACTGTCTGTTCTTCATGCATGTGTACTCAGGTGGGTGACGAAGGAATGTCTGGGATCGACTGGACAAACGAAAATGACCGATTGCTGGTTTGTCAGATGTGCATCAAGCTCGCTGATGTCAACGGACCGCTGAAGTGTAAGGAGCTGCACTTGCAATGGACTGAAGGGATCGTCAATGAATTCTACGAACAAGTATGATTCGAAACCTCTGCAATGCTTGGCTTCTGTTTGATTATTTACTGATAGATCAGCGATATCAAATTCTTCACAATACAAGGGGTTCATTTTGTGATAAGGCAGCACGCGCCGACTTGCGGCACATGCACGTTCCAGTAGTAGGAACCTCTGTCGTAAACCGGGGCCCCCTGTTTCAGTCAGAAAAAGGTTTGAGTAAATAAATTTGGCCGTAATCAACACAACCCTGACACTGCATTATGTTTTTTATTTATTATTCATATTCAGTGGCTCGCAGTTAAAATAAGACCAACATCAAAAAAAACATTTCATTTTTATTCGAGTTGTTTTAAAGTGGGCGAATTTAATAAAAAAATAACCAGGGGATCTGGTAATGATGTTTTTACAAATGATATCATTGAAGTTGAGAAAACAAATTGCCAAACTTCAATTGTCGCTAGTTTGACCACAAGTAAATGGTACTGATTGTCAGCAGTTAATTCATGTCTCTCCGTTGGTAGGGTGAGTTCAATATGTCACTCGTTAGCGTTGACTTTATGTTGCGGGCACTCGTATGTATGGCGCTCGTTGTATGTTGATGAATTACTCAATGTCATTCTTACACCACAAACGCAAAATGAGTGTTCAGTATTCACTACCACATTTGGAGTACTGTTGGTACCATATATACTTGCAAAAAAAGAAGAAAAAAAAAAAGAAACCGGTAGGTTTCGTTACCATTTATAATGCCTAAATAACAGCGGGCACACCTCGCTGCAGTGCCATTTGGAGTACTGTTGGTACCATCTATACTTGCAAAAAAAGAAAAAAACCAAAAGAAACCGGTGGGTTTCGTTACCATTTATGCTGCCTAAATAACAGCGGGCACACCTCGCTGCAGTGCCTTTCACTGCTCAGCTGGAGCCTATTCCAGCTCACAGGGGGCTAAAGATGGGCTCTTCCTTCGTTGGGACAGCTGTCAGGTGCAGGGCTTAAACTGCCGTTACAACAGCCGTGCAATTTAGAGTCAGCCAGAAAAGCCATGCAAGCTCGAAAGAACACGCAGATTCCAGAGCCGAGATTCGAACCCAGAACCTCTTGACTGTGAGACAGAACATTATTAAAGTAACAGTAAACCACGTGTTTCCATATTAGGTCCGCATTTGCGCGAACCTAGAATAATACAAGTTGGCACCTTTCTAGGGGGATGAAGAAGCAAGCCTGGGCCTTCCCATCAGCCCTTTCATGGACCGCTCAGCGCCACAGCTCGCTAAACTCCAAGAGTCGTTCATCACTCATATAGTGGGCCCCCTCTGCTCCTCGTACGATTCGGCCGCTCTGATGCCCGGTGACTGGGTCGACCTGCCGGAGGGGGAGGTGGAGCAAGAAGAATCAAATGAGAGTCAAGATATGGAGGAGGAACAGGGAGATTGGGGTGAGGAACATATATCTCCTGGCGCTGACTTCCCCCGTATGTAAACCTCTCATTTATTCATGTTCCTCTCCAATGTGCTTGTTGTGATTTCCAATTATTACTTCTGTTGCGAGCAAGTTTTCGATCATTGCCTTGGCATTCAATTATTGGCAGGTGGAGTGTGTTATTGCGTTTAATTTACTGAGCTATTTGGATTGTACAGGAAATTTAATTAACCAGGTCACAATCGAGCTAATGAATTCATTTTAATCTTAGTAACATTCATTTTCTTTTCCACAAGATCGCGGATAAACTGGAGCCTGCAGCAGAGATTTGCGGGCAAGGGTTTGGTCGCCAGCCAATTATAGGGCACATATTACACAGCCCCAGACTTGACTTTTGAATTAAATGTTTGGGTTTTTTTTTAACTTTTTCACATTGTAACTAATATGTACTCACGGGGAACTACTTTGTGGGCACGAATTACAACTTCATGCGAATGAACAACTTCGCGCGCATGAAGTACTGTATTTAGAGTGTGTGTACAAAGTAGCCATGGCTTCTTGCAGGTAACTTGAAAAAAAAAATAAATAAAAAAATCGAACTTCTTTCAAAGTTGAAAGGTCGAAGGAAAGCTACATAATGGACACGGGGCAGCATGATCGAATTTCATTTTAAGCTCGGGATGAGTTATAAGGACATCACGAAAAGCTTGGCATTGCAAGGAATCGTTATCAGCGAGAGACATTTGAAAAGGCTGTTGAGAGCCAGCTCACTTTACCGGCGGAGGTACGATGCCGGTAAAGCAAGTTGATCGTTCAGCAATTGCAACATGAAGATCATGTAAGTCGGAATAATCTGTTCATATGGAAAAAAAATATATTAACTATATGCTGGCAAGTGTGTCACGCAAGTGTAAAAATAGGAGCTTTATTCATTCATCAACGATGTTGTGTGATACAACACACAATCTTGACTCCTGGGTCTCTGTATGGCACTGAATGCGACGCTTGAGTCGCTTTATGGCACTGACGGCAGACAGTGGCTTCAAGCGTGTGGAAATATTTTCCCAAACACGAGACTGGTAGCACTGTCACTTGGACAATATGCAAATGAGCCCTCAAATACAATAGAAGCATAAGGGAAGTAGAAAGAGGGAAAGAGAGAATTTTTCTATTTGCAAGGGTAGTATTTTCCTGTAGCCTGGCTACGAAGTCCCGTCTTACAACACGCTATGACACACGATGAGACTGGCCAGCTCGTTGTCGAGAAGGACATGCATAGGGTTCCCACTACCGATGCATCCATGCTCTGTAATATTACAAACGTCAAGTGCATTTTTATATTTCCCTTCGTGGAAATAATCGGGGTGTGTCGATAGATAAAAAGGAAAGCTTGTTGGAATGTCAGTTTCTGAACCTTGTGTCATGTCCCTTCTGTCTTCCAGAGAGGCACAAGACAAAGACGGGAAACAGGAGGAAAGTGTTCTGCCAGATCACACAGCACCTTCTGGAGAACCACGAAATGTGGAAGCGAGTCATTGCTGCAGATGTCCAGGAGGACACCTTGAAAGAAGACCCAAACTGTCTTAGTTCCTCCACTGAGCCAATTACAGCCATTGATGAGGAAGAGGAGGAACAAGCAAGCAAAGAGGAGGAAGATTTGACCGAATGTTTCGATAAAAACGAAGAGGTGCCAGCTATAGATGACGGGAACGGGCTGTTGCAATCGCAGACGTCAGGCGGGGAAGAGGAGGAATCCCAGTGATAATCTGAACAAGTGCGTACTCCCAAACCAGGAATTTGTTTTACCGTTCTTTGTTTGCTCTCCTAACTCTTAATATGGTAGCCAGCACATCACTTTGACACAACACTGTAGAAGATGTTTTGGGTAATTTGTGCCTAACAAAAACAGGGTTTACGACCAGAGATTTTTGGAGGAGCAAAAGAAGTGAACTCAGTGAAGACAAAGAAGAAGAAGAAAAAAAAAAACTTGATTTCATCCGTGGTATCCAGTCTTTACCTAGCTCGCCCTTTCGTTTACATCCGCACAACGACACAGATGGCTGAATTCCTCCATCAGTGAGAAGTACGAGGTGTGTCTGAATTGTTCCAGGGCTCGCGTTAAACATAATTCATTCTGCTGAACATATTTAAAACTCAAAGGAAAGTTTTTTCTTCATCTACGAAGACATTTCGCTGCTTTTGCTTCATTCAATGGGCGAGAAGATGTGACGTGAGAGTCGATGCAGGTCAACTGATTTGGACTATTTCTTTTGTGACACAAGTCTTTGAAATATTCAGACACACCTGCTACATTGTCACATTCCTTTGCCAATTACTCTCGTTGCTCGTAGCCTCCCATCCGAGCAGTGGCGTGCGAAGCACAGTGGATGTCCGTGACGAGCGCATGAATATTGGTATTTGGATTATTAGTATTGACCGGCCAAAATTATTTTGCTGCCCACTCACCATCACGTCGACGAGGAGGGTGAGTGGCATATGCCTGTCAGGTGGATATCCAGGCCCACGCCTACTCATCCCCCACCCCCCCCCAACCCATTGCTCACCACTACATCTGAATCTGAGCAGACTTCCTCTCATAGACAATGAGATAAAAGCCAAGGAAAAAGCTGTTTCCACTGAGGCTTGGCAATGTAGGGAAAACGTACGGCGGGGGGAAAGACATCACACCTGCATACTTAGACTGAAGTTTTATATGCGCATAGAGTCCTACAGGACAAACATGTTTCATACAGTGGACAAAATAGGAGGCTGAACAAAGAGCCCTCTAAAAGCTTTACCTCCCATCAAAGAAAAAAAAAAACAACTTCCAAAACAATGTTTTACTTGGTGTCAAACAATAGCGTGTTTCGGTGTATGTTTCCTCCCACAGCACACTTAACACGTTGATAGGTCATGCATCTCAGGTAGGCAGGGAAATAAAACCAAGATGACCTTATTACGGTACTTTCCAAGGCAACTCATCCGCTTGAAATGATTATTTAGATTATTATTGATTTAACGTATGACCATGTACATACACGTGATTCCCTCTCCCAACGAAACTCATCACGGAACAAGATAACCGATCGTATATTCAAATGATTTGCAAAACTCTCGTTCTTTTTCTGGTTCCTGTAGACAACACGTTATTGTATGATTTGCTTTTTAATGTCACCCCTCGGCTTTTCTGCTCAAATTTTAGCATGCGGATGAAAAACGTTTATGTTTGGTGCCATATATCGAACAGTATACACGGACAAAATTGCTGGTACTCATCCGTTAAAGAAACACCCACAATGGTCACTGAAATGCAAGCGACATAAACAAACGACAAATCGGAAAGATGTCCTTTGGACAAATGAGACAAAACTGAAGCTTTTCAGCAAGTCACATCAGCTCCATGTTTTACAAGTGAAAAAAAAAAAATATAATATTTTTTTTTATCTGTGGCTGCTTTACTACATCTGGTACAGGGTGTCTTGAATCTGTGCAGGGTACAATTAAAATGTTAAGACTATCAAGGCAATCCTGAGGTGAAATTTGTGCTGCTCAATGTCGAAAAGCTTGGACCTGGTCATAGGTCAGGGTTCCTCTACTTGGCTAATGACCCCAAATATATGGTTAAAAGGACTTAAGAACAGCTGAGAACAAAACATTGGATTAGTCCGAAGCGCCTAAATCCAATCTTGTATTGTAATCGGATCCAAATACTTCATGACTGGACTTTAGTCGATTATTGACGTATCTGTATTTTACTTTATTTGTAAATGTCTCTCAAGTTTCACTCCACTATTTCAGATGAGACTTTTACTCAAGTAATACTGTACTCTCCAAGCGACTTCTAACAAAGTGACTGTATATTCTGTTAGGATACTTTTAGTCAAGTATCACCTTTAGGTACTTTAAACGGGACTGTGTAAATCACATCTGACCTCTCTGAAAGGAAACGGAAACATGCAGTCTGGAGAAGACACAACCTGAGACAAAGTGGTTGTCACTTTAAGAAAGATTTGCGCAGGTCCGACATCACTCAGGGTCAACAAACCATTCTGTCAAACTTGAGTCAACTGGATTTAATGATCCCCACCCGAAAATACGTGGTCCACGTCTTTGATGACGCTTATCATAAGGAAGTCGATCTATTGACACTTGTCGGACAATTAAACGACGTTAAAGAAAATACGCGAGGCGCGTCTTGTGTCGTAACTATGAACTTTGCGAGGGTTTTTAGGACGGCGTTTGACCCTTGGAACAAATCGTTTGTATTCCATGATTTCGTGTGGCAATCATTTGATGACATCCAAACAAAGATAGCATTCGATTATTGTGTGAAATACCCACCGTGATTTTCCTCACAACCTTGCGGCACATGCGGCAAAGAGGATCCCAGTCGATTTCCAGAAATGAAATGAGTTCGCCGTCATTGTTTAACCACCGTGGAACCAAGGGAGGAATTACTTCGCACCACAATTCAAACAGCTTAATTGCAACCTCTTAAAGGTCAACAAGTACAAGGCTTCGGCTCTGTAATCACACCATTGAGCTTAGAAAACGCAATGCGCCGAGGCGCTCTCACTCTTCCCATGAACAGTGATTGCCTTTGCATTTTTATTCTTTTCATCACTAAGATATGTCTGCAATTATCTGACGACAAACCATAGCAACTATCCCGAAAAGCCCGAGAGCGGAGAGTTGACATTGCAACCATGAAAGCACACTGCATCCACCAACTTAATCACGACTTCAAGCACGTGTGAGCGAAATGCTCTCTCCGACACATTTTCAGACAAAAAGGTCATTGAAGATTGCTTTTGAAATGATACACTTTGCAAAATAATATTGTCAGCAAATAGAATTGTCTGACGATGAAAAAAAAAAAATTTCATTGAACGGGCATGTTTGTAGAAACTGAACTGCTGTCTTGTGACCCAATTACTTAACTCAATTAGAGTTTCTCCAATGTTAATACCCCTCTAATTCATGAGCTGGACCCATTGCACAGTTCTTAACATGCCCCTCGTGCGGAAGAGAGCTAAGCCGTGCAACCCATTGCTCCTGACTGCCAAGGCTTGACAAAAGATTTTTTTTTTTTAATTAGCCTTTGATTTAAACAAAATATCTGTCCAAAGAAAGGGCTCATTGTCCCTTTGTATGTTTCAAAGGAAACCAACGCGTTTTATGTACAAGACCTTGACTCAAACAACAACAACAAAAAAAAAAAACCAAGGAATGCAACTTGGCAGGAGGACAAACGCCACGTGATATGTTCCGGGTGTCCAGATCCTGTGCCGACACTATTGGGCGTCTTCGTATCACGAGCAGATGCAGCAACAGGCATCTATAGCACACAACTTGCCACCGACATATGATTTGTTTCGTCGAAACATACAAACCCATTTTTTTTTCCTTCTTGCCGTGCTTTCCAAATGTACCGACTAAACAGACTGCTGTGCAAGTGTGCTGCCTCCCGTGTGGATTACGTGCGGGAATATGAGCTTCAAGCTCTGTGCACTGTATATATCCTTCTCACTGTGCAGTATATTCATGCCTCACTTTGCCATCTAATGTGCATCTGATCATCACGGCACTGCGTCACTTGTGTTTCCCCGAAAGCCCCCGTTCCTTGTGGGCTCAAGTTGGTCTGATCTGCCTCACAAACTGTGCGCGCCAGCACAGGTACTGAAAAGAGACTTTTTTTTTTTTCTCCTCAAGCTGTGATACTCTTTGCTGTTGTGGACGAAAAATGTTCTCGCATGTTTCTCACGATGTTGCTGTGATGCTTTGAAGGAAGAATGAGCCAGCTCATCAACTTTGCCTCATTCGGGGTTTTTTACTGAAGTAGCGTCGTGTGAATGCTCACATCTTCAAGCAAAAGAAGTTCTCACCCAAGAATCAAGTTATGACTAAAATCAAGTTGAGATTTTTATAACAAGTTCATGCCAAATGTCCACATTTTCTTGAATGCAGGTGTCGAAGACCAGCAACTGCTGTTTCTTCCTTTCATAAATTTTATCAATTTAAATTTATTGCAATATGACAGCATTTTTTTTTTTGAGTACTGTACTTTACATAGCTGTGTGTGGGGGTGGTGGGTGGGGGAGTACAGTTTCATGAATGATGCCGCATAGCTTTTGCATCACGTTGTGCTTCACTGTTTTTCATTTATTTATTTATTTATTTGGTTACAATTTACCGGTACTTGTAAATTCTTTTTGGGAATGCGGTGAATTTGGCACGATTCTTTATTTGGTGCGTGCCATTAAATAGCTACTGGCTCCAGTTTATAGGAACACACAAATTGTTTGCAATAAATACTCATGCCATCAGTTGCTTTTGGATCATTGTGAGAACACGTACCAGTTATCTTGAATCTGCTCTTGAAATATTCACACGTTGTATGACGCCATGCTGGAACGAAACCAGACAAATCCAGATGATAAATTGACAACTCAGCTACTTCCGCTCATGAAAGTTTGAGATTTTCTACAGAATCAATTAGAAGAAGATTGATTGCTGCACACTTTATCATAGCACCCCAAACAGGCTGTTGAGCGTTAGATTTCTTGTCATGAGCACACGATGAAACCTAAAAAAGAGAAATTTTCGGTCATCTTCTGTTCCGTCAATGTAATCCAGGCCCATGGAAGTGCACAACAGCTATTCTGAGAAGACAGGGTTGTGTCCAATTCGAAGAGCAGAATCCTGTTTTTTGGTGTTTATGCCTATTGTTGTTTTCCATTGTTTGTTGTGCCATACCATTTCCAATTGCATTGTATGAATGGTACATTGTTTGTTGAAACCAAACATTTCCACCAGGCTGGTTATGTTTGTGTTCCTCCAATCTACTCTCGCTGGCACTTGCACTCACAACACATGTAGCAATATTTACAGGATGGGGAAGTTGTGTGATGGACCCCTATTTGTTTCTGTGGAATATAACATTTTATTCCTTGAACTTGTTTGACTTTGCATATATATATATATAGATATATATATATATTGTACATATTGAAAAAGTATATTACATGAAACAACCTTTTAGAAAAATATTTATTTTTACTGTTTTGTAATTAAGACACGATACTGTAGCTTCTATATTGCCAGACTTACTGGAAGTGCCTCTTCAAAATGTATTACAAAGTAACTATACAAGATATTATGAGAACATGTCACTAGCAAAGCAGTGTTGATGTTGTAATGTGACAATTGTTGAATTACATGATTTATAAATACTGCAAGCGTCTTTGTCCTGTTTCCATAACAACATACAGGTGGCATACTGTCATTTTTTTATTTATTAATTTAACATCCAGCTCAAACCAATTTACGGCTCTTGTACAAAGTTAACCTTCCAAGTTAATGCAACAGAAAAAATATGTCAATTATTCGGCCAATAAATCAGGAATCTGTATTTTTCTTTCTGCCAAAGTTGGCATCGGCCTATAAGAAATCCATCTTGATTGGGCCCTAAAAATGTAAATGATGTATTAATTAAGCAGTGTCCCCTGCATACAAGTCACCCAGAGACAAAAAAAAAATAAAAAATCTAACAATACAAGCAGCAGGGAGGTATTGAGTCACACCATTTTTGTTCGTGAAGTCGGCAGTTGCTTTCAAATTTACAGATTGGAATATCCAAATAAATACAAGAACTACTCTGCTAAAACAAAACACATTTGCATGTATTTTGTGGAAGCTAATAAGTTGCCATGCGGTTCACAGTGGAGTCTCTGCGTTTGTAGGGCAGAGCATTGCCTGCTTATGTGGATGGAAAGTAGCATTCTGTTTGTCATATGATATTACAAATGAGCTGTAAGCCACATCTAATCACATGAAACATACTTTTTGTAGGCCAAAGCCACGGTCACGCAACAGAATTCCACAGAGGAATTGTGACTGTGTTGAGGTGTTGAAATCCGCCTTGTAATTTCACACACCACACTAAACACTGCTGTCTCTCATGTTCCCAAAAATAAATACAAACACAAATGTATTCAGTTGATTCATTTTGTGGAGTTTTGCAACACTGTAAAAAAACTCCCTTACAAAATAAATGAGTGGATCATTTCGACTGTTTCAATTCTTCATCATAAGGCCCTATTCCTCATTATTCACGAATGTTTTAGGCTTACTTTTCAGGTGAAAACTCTGCATCTCAGTTATAACATTCATGCAGAACCCGGTCGGGACTTATGACGTCAGTCCATGTTGAATGGACTTCGTGTAACCGTAGCAACAGGAAAAGGCAGAAAAGAGTTTTTTCTATTACCTGTGCACACAATGCTAGCTGTGAACAAAGGAGGTCAACCACTGCGTTTTAACATTCATTATGTGTCAAGAGTTCTCTATCATATGAACAATAACCAAAACCCTTGCGGGGTTTGAGCAACGAAAAATTTGCTGGACATTACAACAGCGTGGAACTATCCTGATACCAACCAGTGAACTCATGAGAAATTAATTGACAACTGCAATAGTATTGTCCTAAATGTCAGATGAGTGGATCAATTTCATATCAACAGAGAAAAGAAGAAGCAAGCAAGGCTCACATATCCACGCGAGTACATGTCAGACTGTGTTTTAAAGTGTCAACAATGTTCCCATGAAGTATGACATCAGTGAAGAACACAAACTTTTCCCTATTCTCCTATTATCCTTTGTACCCAAAGTAAAATTAATAACAACCCAAACTCAACCTTCGGACATAAAACTAACTATCAATATATATATATATATATATATATATATATATATATATATATATATATTTTTTTTTGGTTTGATTTTGCTTGATCTGTCTCAGGGATGGGCAATCGGCGGCATGTCGTTCAAAATTACACCCAGGAAGTTTCAAAAATCAAGAAACTGAATGTTGCATTTAAAGCTTCTTTAAAATTGTTTACAAGATTGTTATTGTCTCTGAATTAGGAGGGATATGAGTAAATTTCTCTGGCATCATCACACTCTCGTTCAACTTTTGCGATATTCTCACGACTTTTATTTTGAAATGCGTTGTCCGAGCGCGTTTGCACTTTGCAGCACTTTACTGTAGCGCAGAGTATGGACAATATTGACAATGTCGACGGGGTGCTGGCGCGACCACAGTTAAGAGCCGGCGCCTCCTCCCATGCTCTCTCATCCTCATTTGAAGTTTGAGCCGAGCTGGCTGAGGGAAGCCTACCTGTGCTGTGATCTCCATCTCGGAACCTCCACCTCATCTAAACAGAACACCGATGTTTGTCACGAAGGTAAGGGACTAGCATCCCAAGTTCAGTTTAGCTCAGCGTGTCCTGGAAACGATTTTAACACCGATTGTTATAGTTAGCCTCTCGATTGTATCGTATTTGATTTGCAGACAAAAACGAGTCAATCACAAAAAACGGGCTTCCCATCAAGAAATTGAACGGTTCGTCTCTGACGTCACTCGTTTACTGTCGCGTTGTGTTTTTATGATTTACCTCAAGGTTGTCGAACTCAATAACTAAAAAAAAAAAAATACCTGTGACATCCGTGTCATAACTATTGCATGCTGGTGCTGCATTGAACACAAAGATGATATACTCACTAATTTTATTTTAAGAATGGCAACAGGTGTTTTTTCGTACTTTCTGCCATCTAGAGGAGCAAAATTTCATTGTTCTGCCTGATTATCTATTGGCATAGAGAACAAAGATATACTGTAATAATTTTGGGTCAAATAATCTAATAATTTCACCGTTTTCCCCTTCTGATCTCTCACAGCACACTGGAGGAACCCTGATTGGTATTCAGGTGTTCAACAGTAATATAATACAAAAGTATGTTTTTGCAAATGCCCCAATTCATATGAATTTGGAACAAAGGAAAGGGCTGAGTGGTGGAGAACGTGTACATTTATTATTTGTTTATGGAAAGTAAGCGCTTTATTCACAAAGACAATTCAGGTGTTTGAACAAAGTGATTACATGACAGATTAGACGGAGGCAAGAGAGGCTTCGGTTATAATGCATAGAACCTTACTTTTTAAGATTAATGAGCATCGGAGAGTGAGTATTATGGGTGTGGAATCATTTGATCTGGTCATGTGAGTCCACCTATTGCAACTACACAGTATATTCATGTTTTCCTCACAAGACCAGCCCATAAACAGCTAAGCATGTGAAAGGTTCTGAGATTTATTACTGTTGGCTATTTAATGTCAGTCACATTGAATTGGCCTTGCAGCATTCAAAATCATCATTCATAACAGAGTGTTTTGGATTATGTGCAATTATCGTTGTTCATTCTGTATTTGGGCTTTCCAAGTAGATATTTAGTTGTCTTTAATTTAAAGGAGATTCATTCTGCAAATGGGTGGCACGGCGGTCGACTGGTTAGCACATCCATCTCACAGTACAGAGGTGCAGGGTTTGATTCTGGCTCCGGCCTTCCTGTATGGACTTTGCATGTTTTCCCTGTGCCTACGTGGGTTTTCTCTGGGTACTCTGTTTTCCTCCCACATTCCAAAAACATGCATGGCAGGTTCATGGGACACTGCCCTTTCTCACTTTATTTTGAAGCGACATTAAAAAAGACCTTTATCAAATGAGAACTGTATCAGGTAGTGCTGCTACATCAAGTTATAAAATGTAAGCAGAGTAGCCTGCATAATTTGGCACGAACATGCTGTAATTATTTTTTACTGTTTTACATAGTATCTTGCGAGTAAATTGTTCCAGTGTATTTGGAATTTTTCGTTTTGACGGTTTTGACCTTCCTGGCGATTGTTAAATAAGCGAGTAGGAGAATTCTGTATTTTACAGCAGCTGAATGCTAACTTGGGTCAGGTCTCCGAGTAAGCAGAGAGCTTCTGGGAGTGCAATTGAGTCGTCATGCATTTCCCACAACAGGCTGTCAGCATTGCTGAAATTGTGATTGTTGTATGTAACGTATTTTTTTTCATCTGATCGTAGTACGAATCCAAGATCAGCAAGGGCATTGAGTTTCAACTGAACCTGATTTGTTGTGTTGTTAATAAATGGAGCGTTTGGAACCCCAAAAGCTGAGAAGCAGCAAATAGATCAACACTTGGGAATGTTTTCATTTTTACGTTATGCGTCCCATTAGATGTCGCGGACGGTGTCGTGGACCACTCGCCTGACTCGTGTGCGGGCAGCGTGGGGTCGGTTCCCAGTCAGTGACGATGTGGGTGTGAATGGTTGTTTGAATCTAGATTTACTCTGCGACTGGCTGGCAGCCAGTTCAGCTGTAGTCTACCTTGCGCCTGGAGTCAGTTAGGATAGGCTCCGGCAACTCCCCGCGACCCTCTTCAGGATAAGCGAATGAAAATGGATGGATGGATGGCATCCCATTAGCGTGATTGGTAGTTGTTGGTTTTGCTGTTATCTTAATGTGATTGAAGAATATTTCTTCCTATATTCTGAATTTCTCTTTCAGTGCCACTGTTGTATTGAGCTGAATACGGGAATAATTTTGCTGGATGAGTATGAGGAGCTGAACTTTTCAAATGTTTCACTTCTTGAGACAGCAAACCACTTGAGAATCAACAGCACCTCTGCTGGTTGCAGACGATCCTGCACTCTATTTTGACAACATTTTATCCCCCGAGTTAAGACACAAACAATCAGTAATTACAGCTACCAAATTTGTAGACATGCTGTTGTTATGCAGACATGTCTTTCGAGTTTAGTGTGATTTCAATGCCACTGTTGTATTGAGCTGAATACGGTAATAATTTTGCTGGATGAGGAGCTGAACTTTTCAAATGTTTCACTTCTTGAGACAGCAAACCACTTGAGAATCAACAGCACCTCTGCTGGTTGCAGACGATCCTGCACTCTATTTTGACAACATTTTATCCCCCGAGTTAAGACACAAACAATCAGTAATTACAGCTACCAAATTTGTAGACATGCTGTTGTTATGCAGACATGTCTTTCGAGTTTAGTGTGCATTATATATGCGGTGGAATCTCTTGGGTTTTTTTTTCCATAGTTTGTGACCATATGTAATTTTCAAATGCAGCTAGAATGATGCAGTGACTGGATGAATGTCGGAGTGTGCTGTTCTGAGTAATGCCCTTTAAGAGAATGTCACAGATTCAGCAGGGAGTACAACCAACCACCACAGTCTGTTAAAAAAAAAAAAAAAAAAAAAAAAAAGCTAATTATTTGGTACGATTTAGCAACCGTTATTGGACAGTGATTGAAAAGCTGTACAACCATAGATTGATTTCTGTACATGCTTACCTGACTGTGTGTCTCGCACTTGCTGATTTACTTTGTACTGACAAATGACTGATTAGACTGTTAATGTGGTTTATGCATGGGGGTTATTTTCTGTTTGATTGAATGAGACGATGACACAGACAAAGAAGGGACCACCCTCCTGGGATGTGAGAAGACAATGGTCGTCATCCATATCATCATTCACGTTTGGTGATGATAATGGGACATGTACAAAAGAGAAACTCAGACAAGTACAACCTCTCAATTCCCTAAATAACAGTTGTTTTTCCTAAATTTAAAAAAAAAAGCTTTGCGTTTGAGTACTCGGCACTCAGGTAACAGCCAATCATGGCTCAGCTTATGAAATTCAACATGAGTCGTGATTGATTGTTTCCTGAGCCCTGAGCACATGCAATGTCATTTTCAGTCGACAGCAAGTGCCAAAATGTGTTTTTATGTGACACTCACACCTCAGGCCAATTTAGGGTCTCCAATCAACTTACCATGCATGTTTTTGGAATGTGGGAGAAAACCCAAGCACGCACGGAGAGAGCGTACAAATTCCTCACAGGAAGGTCGGACCCCGGAATCGAACCCTGGCACTCTGCCTTGCTCAAAGACACCTGATTGAACTCCCTCGATGAGCCAAAACCTGAAAAGAGAACGTTTTTTGTCGAAATACAGACATTTCCATGCATCCTTGTTGCCAAAAATGGTGGTGCATTCTCTTTGCCCTCTATGCTGGAGTGGCGTCACTAATTCTGCCCCCTGAGGCATCACATTCACAGCTTCACATGACTCCTCTAGGATAAAATATACTGAGTGGGGGTGACGAGTCAGGACAAGGCTAATAAAATGAGAAAGACAGAAACATCTAAAACCGGTTTCATGGTTGGCTTGATCCTCTGCCCTTGACAATCGTGTAATTTAACTGTAAATACAATTGTACACGTATTGATAGGTTAATACTTCTGCAGTCGAGAGCTATTTTATTTTTAAGCTGTTTAAATTGCATTTTTAGTGTTCCTACCATTTTAGAAATACTGTAGCGCCATTTTTCTAAACAATACACAGTGTTTCACGGCGTGACAATTGTGTGGTCGGTCTTATTCAACTGCACTACTTAAACTCGCGTGTACTCCCTGTGCCTGCTGTAGGATGTTTTGGTTTGTACTGAGAATAAGAAGTGGGTCACATGCTTGAATTATCCATTTACAGGCTTGAATGCATCAGTGCCAAGAATTTGCACTTGGTGGTGGACTACAGCAAAGCAGACACAGTGACCTTTTAGGCGGATGGAGGTTGGAGCAGTGTGCAGCGACATGCAGAAGACTCGACGAGGTGACGATGCATCCGGAAAAACACGCCCCTCATCCTGCTCCAGTCTTAAGGCAAGTACTGTATTTGTTTCAGAATGAGATGGAAAGTATATTATTTTGCAGAGTACAATTTAATGCTCATTCATTTTGTTTTTTTTTTTTTTTTGTTTGACTTGATAATACCTAATATCCAACCATCCATCCATTTTCTGATCCGCTTATCCTCACAAGGGTGCTGGAGCCTATCCCAGCTGTCTTCAGGCAGTTGGCAGGGACACCCTGAACCGGTTGCCAACCAATCGCGGGGCTCACACTCACACCTCGGGACAATTTGGAGTGTTCGAATCAGCCTGCCATGAATGTTTTTGGAATGTGGGAGGAATCCGCAGTACCCGGAGAAAACCCACGCAGGCATGGGGAGAACATGCAAACTCTACACAGGGAGGCCGGAGCCGACATTGAACCAGTTGACCACCGAGCCACCCATATACCATTGTTAAAATTGAGATTTTTTATTTTTTTTGGTCACCATGTTCCTGCAAACTTTCCTTGATTATGGAAACATCAGGGGTGGGCAATTTACAACATTTTTCCATTCTGTCATTCATCAGAGTACCCGATCGTCATCGTCATTTTTTTTTCAAGCCCAACCAAATTGTAATTGTCAGTTGGTCAGTCCATCAGGTTATTTTAACCGCGCTTCCGTCAGTAAATTTCATCAGTCCGCCAGTCCGTCTATCGTCAGTTTGTCCCCATCCCAACCTCCCCACCCCAAATAAAAACAACCAAAAAAAAAAAAATCCACATGATAGTCCAGTAGACGAAACAAGAGTATGGCCTTTACCTTGTTTTCTGTTGAACACCTATTGAAAAGCACATTGAATTCCCATTTGAGGATAGTATTCATCATGAAACATAAGCTTCTTTAGAGGCGTAACAGTAGAGCTGGCATTTCTTGGACTGTGCCTTTTAAACGGAACACTCTTGAATCAAGCTAGTTGTTCATCTTTTCATACATATCTGTTTACATTAAATGAAGAAATAGTACAAGCACTATTGTTATTTCATTTTATAATTTTTTTTACTGTGCCACAAGTATATAGCAGTTTGACACTTGGAAAGATATTTTCTGTGTTACACATCTTGATTATCCGTCTATCTGATTTTGCTTCGTCGTCCTCCCCAAAGCAAGAGCAGAAGAAACAAGGCAGAACACAGCATGAATGGGATGTTATGATTCCACCACCTCAGGCTTTTCCGTCTCACGCTTGCCTTTTCCCTCTACGTCAAACAACTTTGGAAAAAAATAAGATGAAAGTCTTCTTTTAAAGTTAGTGCGACTTTAAATAAGATCAAACCCTCTCGTTGCTCCCCTTTCCCTTTCCCCCCCAGATGAAAGTGAGGTGAGACAATGGTGTTCAAGCAGGTTGTCATAATACAGACTGAGTCCCTGGACGGACTATTTCTTTTCAGAATTGTTTTGTTTAGGGTGGGGCATGACACAGTTTAGGGTGGGGCATGACACAGTCTCCTGCAACTCACATCCTATCTTTTTGTTTCCCGCTTTTTGTTGATTGTTCCAGTACGACTATAGATTGGGTGACATCGTCCCGAAACAAAAGTCTGATGATTTTATGTCATATACAATAACTTTCTTGAGAATGCAACACATGCGCACAAAAGCTCAAACATTAATGCTGTCTTCGGGCAATAGCCTGAACCGGTTGCGAGCCAATCGGGGAGAACATGCAAACTCCACACAGGGAGGCCGAAACCGGAATCGAACCCTACACCTCTGCACTGTGAGGTCGACGCAGACCACCGGGCCACCTCAAGATTGACATGTAATTGTGAAATTAAGCGCACTTGCGATGCTCATGAGAAAAATGGAGGGATGGATGGATGACATAATTTCAAAGGATTAGGAATTCTCATGATGAATTGCAACTCGACTCGGCAATCAGAAAGGAGTTGCTATGCGAAAGCTTCACTATATTTTGAACACATCTGAACACTGTCATCGTAGGTATTCACTTAATGTACTGGTAAGTAAAGGCTCTGTTTTATGTCAATGCAAAGGCCTTTTACGTGTATCGAATTTGTCCTTATAGTCTACATTTCCTTTCTCCTCACAGATGTTTCTGGTGGCTCTGTCCTTTGCCTATTTTGCAAAGGCTCTGTCGGGGAGCTACATGAAGAGCACCATAACTCAGCTGGAGAGACGCTTTGACATTCCCAGTTACCTAATAGGCATCATTGACGGAAGCTTTGAGATAGGTGTGTAGTTCTGCTTGCCGTCACTTTTATGTTGATGTTGTTTAGTAGCCTGTGTCGCAGGTGTGTCATTCACTCACCCCACACGTTTATTTATTCAAGAAAGGTATGTGTGTGTGTGTGTGTGTGTGTGTGTGTGTGTGTATATATATATATGTTTTTTTTCCTCTCTCTATACTCTCCCTATACTGATATTTTAGAATATAACTTTTTCATGGGTGAAAGCAAGACTGATGTGCACTGGAACACCGAAACCGGAAGGCAAACATTAGGAGCAAACATGAAGCAAAGGACAGATCTTCCAGGAAACATGTTTGTTCACATTATTTTCACCCGACTTGTTCTGTTGATGGTTGAAGCTGGTGCTTTTGAAAGCACAGAATCAGACTGGTTGTTGGATCAGCTTCGGTTTTTCGATGGGAATGGATAATTTTCAGCGATGGTATAATTTTTCCTTTTAGGGAAAATCGTCGTAAACCTGTCACAGAATACTTGACTGAAATTATTTACTGAGAGAGGACAAGAGTGCCTCCCAGAAACATTCAACCTTTTGAACTTTTATTTAATTTTTGGCTCCGCAAGAAGTGTTTTGATGGCAGTACTGCAAGCCTGAAAATTAATGATGACTTGCAGTGCAAGGTTTCTGGGTCGGTTGCATTAACCTGCTTGGGTCACCTCGACAGTATCATATTGGTTATGGGTAATGCATCGGGTGCTGCATTTGAAGTTGGCTGAAAGAAATGATTTTAAAAGATGATTTGGAATCATCAGAAACGTCAATTTTATTTATTTATATTTTTTTCCAATTTTCCACAGCCAATAAAGCAAATGTTTTGAAACCTTTCCATACTAAAATTGCGGCCATCTCAAAAACCTTTGTCCACTGTACTTTACTGTCGGACATGTGTAAACAGAACTTAACCACGCAAAAGTACATCGGGTGCTGCATTTGAAGTTGGCTGAAAAAGATGATTTTAAAAGATGATTTGGAATCATCAGAAACTTCAATTTTATATATTTATAATTTTTTTCCAATTTTCCACAGCCAATAAAGCAAATGTTTTGACACCTTTCCATCCTATAATTGCGGCCATCTCAGAAACCTTTGTCAACTGTACTTTACTGTCGGACATGTGTAAACAGAACTTAACCACGCAAAAGTGATCGCATGATAAAACTAAAATAATATGTGTATACTGTATTGAACCGGTTGTGTAGTATCAGTGCTGGCAGCGTCGGTTCAGTTCCTACTCAGTGACGGTGTAAATGTGAGTGTCAACGCATCTCTATTTATGCCCTGTGAATAAGGTGTCCACCTTTCCATCCTATAATTGCGGCCATCTCAGAAACCTTTGTCAACTGTACTTTACTGCCGGACATGTGTAAACAGAACTTAACCACGCAAAAGTGATCGCATGATAAAACTAAAATAATATGTGTATACTGTATTGAACCGGTTGTGTAGTATCAGTGCTGGCAGCGTCGGTTCAGTTCCTACTCAGTGACGGTGTAAATGTGAGTGTCAACGCATCTCTATTTATGCCCTGTGAATAAGGTGTCGTCTGCGTTGATCTTGAATTCAATTCACTGCGTCTCTGAAGTAGTTATGTAGTAAGTTATATTTCTCTCAGATAAAGATATGCTGTTGGAGTAAACCATTTTGGATGTACTGTATTCACACCAGAAGAGTCCTTTGGTCCGCTTTTTATGACAAAACTAAAATAATATGTGTATACTGTATTGAACAGGTTGTGTAGTATCGGTGCTGGCAGCGTCGGTTCAGTTCTTACTCAGTGACGGTGTGAATGTGAGTGTGAACGCATCTCTATTTATGCCCTGTGAATAAGGTGTCGTCTGCGTTGATCTTGAATTCAACTCACTGCGTCTCTGAAGTAGTTATGTAGTAAGTTACATTTCTCTCAGATAAAGATATGCTATTGGAGTAAACCATTTTGAATGTATTCACACCAGAAGAGTCCTTTGGTCCGCTTTTTGTCATGAGTGTGGTCAAAGGACAAATGAACCCTCGTCAGGCAAGGTGCCACTGTAATTTGGTACATTCTTTGCAAAGCTGAGAAGGTGACTGATCTGGAGCATCCTTCAGCTGGATTCCATTCATGTCGTCGTAGTTAATGCTTCTCCTGTCGATAAATGTTCACATGTGGTCAAGGCAACCAGTTACATCTATAGCATTGTTGCTAGGGGAACACAGACAAGTCAGGCAACATGAATGAATACAAAGAGGAAAGGACGGTTCTTCTGTTAAGAACGGAGCACAGTGGGAGAGCATTATAGAGGAAAACAGAATTGGTTTATGCATCCATCCGTTTTCCATACAGTGGACCACCACACAGTATCTACAGTTTGATATTCACATATTCATCCTTTTTTTTTTTTTTTTTTTTTTTTAACCTATCCTCCATAACTCACGGTGGTAAATTGTGCCTTTTCCTAACATGGGCAAATGAAGCAGTGGCATTTCCAACCAGCACTGGCCGCTCCATTGGAGCGTCTGCACCATCGATTTAACTCCTGCGCTTTGCTGCGTCGTCAATTGTTCATTGTTTCAAACCAGACTGCACTGCTGCAGTAACTTTAACTGTTATCCTCACAATTGGTGACATGGACATATTCGTAGTGTACATTGTGGGCTTAGCTGTAAGACGTTTACCAAGGCAACATGAATGAATACAAAGAGGAAAGGATGGTACTTCTGTTAAAAACGGAGCACAGTGGGAGAGGAAAACAGAATTGGTTTATGCATCCATCCGTTTTCCATACAGTGGACCACCACACAGTATCTACAGTTTGACATTCACATATTCATCCATTTTTTTTTTTTTTAACCTAACCTCCATAACTCACGGTGGTAAATTGTGCCTTTTCCTAACATGGGCAAATGAAGCAGTGGCATTTCCAACCAGCACTGGCCGCTCCATTGGAGCGTCTGCACCATCGATTTAACTCCTGCGCTTTGCTGCGTCGTCAATTGTTCATTGTTTCAAACCAGACTGCACTGCTGCAGTAACTTTAACTGTTATCCTCACAATTGGTGACATGGACATATTCGTAGTGTACATTGTGGGCTTAGCTGTAAGACGTTTACCTCTCTCCCGCATCAAGATGAAATGTGTCTTTGCGCAATATGGCTATTTTTTTTTAAATTCTTTTTACATATTTTTAAAATTAATTTTTGGAAAAAAAAAAAAAAACGTGAAACACTGAAGTCCAAAAACCTGACGCTCGACATGGCGAGGGATCACCGTAATTGCTCTCTGTAATAAGATTGATGTCATTATTTCAAGCGCCTGCACCATTGATTTAACTCCTGTGCTTTGCTGCGTCGTCAATTGTTCACTGTTTCAAACCAGACTGCACTGCTGCGGTAACTTTAACTGTTATCCTCACAATTGGTGACGTGGACATATTCGTAGTGTACATTGTGGGCTTAGCTGTAAGACGTTTACCTCTCTCCCGCATGAAGATGAAACGTGTCTTTGCGCAATATGTCTGTATTTTTTTTTTTTAATTTTACATATTTTTAAAATTAATTTTTGAAAAAAAAAAAAAACGTGAAACACTGAAGTCCAAAAACCTGACGCTCGACGTGGCGAGGGATCACCGTAATTACTCTCTGTAATAAGATTGATGTCATTATTTCAATGCAAGTAATTTTTGCTTTCCGGCTGTACAAAGGTAGCTGACCCATTTATTTGGATACAACAATTTGGGTATCCAATAAAATCTCTAATATTTTGTTTCTTCCGACAGGTAACCTGTTAGTTATCGCCTTTGTCAGTTACTTTGGTGCCAAGCTCCATCGGCCAAAGATCATTGCAATGGGTTGTGTATTGATGTCTATTGGTACCTTCATCATCGCCCTACCTCACTTCATCATTGGACAGTGAGTAAAGAACTACTTTGATGTCTCGTAAACATCGTGGAAATCAGTCACTTGGTTCTTCCTCAAATTTCATTCTAACCTTTGTTGTTACAGTTATGAATTTGAATCAGCGGCTCAGTGGGTTGTGAACTCAAGCCATACCTCGTCCCCATGTTCACCGGGCTCAACAGCTGACCTCAACCTAGATAGTCAATTACCTGAAGTGCCAGTGACAGGTATCTATCTACTCAGATCAGCACACTCAGCTGCACAAACAGGTACCATAATGTAATCATTTTTTCCAGATTGTGAAGGAGACACCAACCTGTCCATGTGGATCTATGTGCTACTGGGAAATGTCCTCCGTGGGATTGGAGAGACCCCTGTTCAACCCCTTGGAATCTCCTACATTGATGACTTTGCTAGTGAGGAGAATGCCGCGTTGTATGTGGGTAAGAAAAACAATTTCAATAAGGCCCCATTAACAACACTAACATTTCATCAATTTAATTGGGAACTGATGGATGTGGATGGTCTTTGCATGTGATCCATCTTCGCCTATGATATTTGTCTGTTAATTTGAGTGTGTTTTGGGCATTCTAGGCTGCGTACAGACCATCTCTGTGGTGGGGCCTGTCTTCGGCTACCTGTTAGGCTCCTTATGTGCCAAAATTTATGTGGACATTGGATTTGTAAAAATGGGTAAGTTTGTTTATTTTGACATTTCTTGGTTAGAGAGAATGATCACGCTTATGTATTATTAATATTAAACCTTTCACAGCATCTCAATGTGATTCATGAAAAGTGAGTTTTTGGAAACACTGTTTTTCTGGCACTTTCCGAGATTATAACTAAAGGCGCCCCTTCATAAAACATAGGCATGATGTTATCAAGACAATAGCTGGTGCAGCACATGTCGTTGAGTGGGAGTCACAACAGATGTTTGGCAAGAGCATCACTTGTTGAAGAACCAGAGCTGCTTTCAATCAAATAGAGTGCTGCAGAGGGAGTGGAAGTGAGAATATGGGCTATGTTATAGCAAAAACAAGACTGCAGAGTACAGACCTTAGTCCATAGTAATATAAATGTCGGTCTTTCCATGAAATTCGAATTGGGTATACCATTCATAATCTTCCTTGTCATAGAAGTAAGAGAACATGACTTTCTGCCAGTTTTCCCTCACTTTGTTGGTGACTTGCTTAAGATAAAGGTCATGAAGAAACAAAACAGTGCAAAGTTTGAATTTTACCAGAATCCAACTGTAAATCTATGGGGGGGAAAAAAGTTGCATTATTACAAGAACAATTGTCTTTTTTTATGACAAGAATAAAATCTTGACATGAAAAATGTTTTTTTTTATTTACAAGAATAAAATGTGAATATTAATATTAAAATCTGTCATTTTACATGCAGGAAGTAATAATTTTATGAGAATTTTTTTAAATTAATTTTACAGGAGAACATTCCCCCTCTCCCCATACTTGTTTTTTTTAATGAATATAAGGTTGGCAGTTGAATACATTAATTCACAGAATATGACACAGAATATGATACATTTGTGTACATGCCACGAACATACGAACATCAAACACGATGACTATGTGTCACTCTGTTTACCCCAACACAGAAACCATCACAATCACCCCAGCAGATTCCCGTTGGGTTGGAGCCTGGTGGTTGGGCTACCTCATAGCTGGTGTCATCACCTTAATTTCTGCCATTCCATTCTGGTTTCTACCACGTTCGCTGCCGGCTCCGGGCTCACACACTCCAGAAAAGCCGGAGCAGGCAAGTTTTATTCAAGACTCTACCCCCGTGAAGCACAAGTATCCAGTGGAAGAGCACACCAGTTTCATAGAGATGGCTAAAGGTGAGAAAAGCTAAGACTATCATATCTATCTACACTCTATATCATTCGTAGGTGTAATCGCGAGCGTGGATGGTTGTTTGTCTACGTATGCCCTCAAAGTCATCTGGTGTGAGTCATAATGCGGCTCTATTCATGTCTTTTCACAGACTTTATTCCAACCCTGCGCACCCTGTTGGCCCACCCTGTTTACCTGATCTACTTGTGTGTGACAATCATCCAGCTCAACTCGCTTATTGGCATGGTCACCTACAAACCCAAGTACATCGAACAGCACTTTAGGCAATCCGCCTCAAAGGCTAACTTTCTAATGGGTATGAATGATTTGTGTAAAACAGTCTGAAAGATTAATGAAGCATCGTATAAGAGCACAACTTAAAAAATTCTGCCTGGCCTTTTTACCAAACAATATGCATAGGTTCAATGTCTCTCTTTCATTCGGCCTCGATTATGAATGTGATTCCATTTGTGTTCATCATTCTGTGTTTTGTTCACAACTCTTAGGTGTGATTAATATCCCAGCGGTTGCACTTGGGATTTTTTCTGGTGGCCTCCTAATGAAGAAGTTGAGGCTGAACATCATGGGAGCAGCAAAGTTTGCCTTTGTTACTTCTTTCCTTGGTTATGTCCTTTCATTGTTCTTTTTTGCGATGAGCTGCGACAACGCCAGGATAGCCGGAGTGACGCTTCCATACAACGGGTGAGTTGCTGCACAATTGTTTACATTAACTATGAGCTGAGTACAGAGGAACCTCTTTGGTTGAATACAATCCATTCTGGGATGCTGAACGGCCGTTGATTTGTTTGCATTTTAAACAATTTTTTTTTCTCAACAAAATGATGGATCTAAAGAGAATGTGTAAAATGTAAATGCCAAATATGTCTGACCAATATTTATTTTCATATTTACAATGAATCAATCATTTAGATCCATCCATCCATTTTCCGATCCGATTTATCCTCACAAGGTTCGCAGGGGGTGCTGGAGCCTATCCCAGTTGTCTTTGGGCAGTAGGTGGGCCGCCCCAATTATTTCGATGAATCAGAAAAATATAAAAATGAATAAATACTGTCGTTGCTATACTTTGCCCTCTCCTTGACTAGTCTTGCATCAAATCTCAAAGTGTACAACTTTTGAAGATTTCTGGTACTGATGGGAAATTGAAGCTTCATGAAGCAATTTTTACTTCTTTGATTGAAAGATAAAGGCTAGTGCAATAGAAATTGATTACATTTCCACTGCATTTGGAAACCAAGAGCGGCATTGAGAGGAGTTACAAATGAAGTGGTTCATGAAGCTTCATGTGTTCCTCACTAGTTTCTGGTACTGTCCATATCACAACCAGTATTTAGTCGCATATTCTCTTCTTCTGTCTCTTCCAGCATGGAGGGCATCTCTTATGACAAACACTCTGTTTTCACCACCTGCAACTCCAATTGTTTTTGTTCAGCAAATAACTGGGACCCAGTCTGTGGACGGAATGGCATCACATATGTTTCTCCCTGTCTTGCTGGCTGCACCATCTCCACCGGCTCAGGGAAAAACACAGTAAGTGCAACTGTAAAAAGTCTAATGTTAGACAACTCCAAGGAGATGTGTTGCACTAGCAAGACAATTTGAGTTTTCCATAGTAATTGCAGTTTAACCCTTATCATCCTTGGGGTCAATTTGATCCCATTCAGTGTTTCTCATTAAAAAAAAAAAAAAAAAACAATAGTTGACTTTTTTTTTTTGCTCCTTATTTCATGATTTTTCCTGATTTTATGGGGGCAACGGACTAAGCATAAATTGATCCTGATATTTTTTTCAATATTCTGAACACACATTGCATGCACTGCTGATCCTCAGGGGTCAATCTGATGCAGAAAATCTGCATGTTCTCTCACTTAGAAATGTCATCTGGAAAAAGGTTTACTGTCCATGAGGTTTTGGAACAGCTTTTTGTGAAAGTGATATAGAGGAGAATGTGTCCGAGACAGAGGATTGTTCTGAGGAAAACCCTGATTTTTGAGGCATTCTCATCTGATGAATGAGAGTTTTGACCCTCGTGTTATCTTCTAACCACCATCAGACACGATCCGTTCCAAAAATGGAAAGATAAGATCACAACAATCCAGGAACTCACATGACTGTCAATGAGCGCTGATTTGTATTTCGTGGATGCTCTCCCCATTTCGACAATAGATGCCAAGCAAACTTTGCCAATATGGCATCAAATTATGGAGCTTTTACGGAGCAGCTGGGTAATGTACTGGTGAAGGGAGAGGGACAGTGCCTAACAAGAGCATCAGCAGTTGCTTGCAGCGAGTATGAGGGACATACTAACAGAGACAACCACCCAAACTCCTCCTATGGAGGTACATAAACATGAGAGGAAAGGGCGGGGTCAGTTATGACAGAATGCCTACCACTGTTAAGGTTGAGATGTGGTAACTAGAATTTTATGAGGTGGGGCGCTATTTTTTTCACTATCTTCACCCCAAACTCTCTGTCAGAAAAAAAACTTTTATGGACAATCTAACGCTATGTCTGAGAATCTACACTCATGTTCAGTTGATGGGTGCGTCCGTTTCTAATTATTCACGCGTGTGCACATTTGTCCAGGTCTTCTCGAACTGTAGCTGTATCGGTGAGGCCGGTAATTTGACAGCCAATACAGGTCAGTGCCCCGATAAGGAAGACTGCGACAGGATGTTCCCATTCTTCTTGGCTCTCTCCGTCCTTACTTCCTTCATCATCTCTCTGGGAGGAACGCCGGGCTACATGCTTCTCATCAGGTCAGCCTTGCACCAAAGCTCTTCATAAAGCTTTTCTTTCTCCACATCTTTTGATCAGAGAGGTTTTGAGATTAGTGAGTGAACCGAATTGTGGTGCTGTATTACTTGGAGACGTCTCCATACATATGGCGTGATGCTGCTTTGGATTCTACATGATTAAATGCTTTGCACTGTATGCTCAGGCATAATTTGTGTGTGACTCCAGCGACTTTTGCTTGATCTAGCACAAAACATGATGCCACAATTCAATGAGTTATTTATCATTTGGGTGGAATTTGCTCTTTCTGCTGATTTTTGGGGGGTCTTTGTAGCTGGAAATCCCATTAGACCATCTGCCAACTTTTTCTGATAAAGCCTCTTTCCAATCACATGATCTCTATCAAATGTTGAAAGACCAGTTTCTGCTCCTCACAAATTAGATCAGACTGTTGTGATGCTGGTGTCAGTGCGCAAACAAAACAGCTGTTGTTTAATTTCATTGTCATTCCCAACGTTGGGCGAATGGTTAGCACTACCGCTTCACAGTTCGGAGGTCGTGGGTTTGAATCCAGGCTCCGCTCTTCCTCTCTGGAGTTTGCATATTCTCCCTACGTGTGTTTTCTCTGGGTACTTGGGTACTCATCCCGCACTCCAAAAACCTGCATGGTATTTGATAAATGACGAGATTGTCCGTAGGTGTATATGTGAATTTGAGTGGTTGTTTATATTTTGCCCTGCGATTGACTGACGACTAATTCAAGATAATTTAGCGATGACGGATGCGACGGACTGAAAATGACAGTTTTGGTTGAGCTTGAAAAAAATGATGATGATAATGATGATGACGATGACAGACGGGTGCTGACAAACTACGAATGACACACTGGAAAAATTTATTAACGCACCCATTTCCACTAAAATCAATGAATTTACTTTTGAAGATTGACTCTGTTATCACCGATACACTACAAATACCTTGCTAGCACAATTGCAGTCTTAGGTCTCTTCAAGTTTCAGCATAAAGCGTGGATAAATGTCATGACCTTGATGCAGCACTTTCTCGGGAAACAGGCTAATAAGATTTTCCCCGATTGCTTAGTTTGGTTATGAGGCAGACGTTAGGAACCGTCCTCTGTGTCCCAGATTGCGATAACAAATTACAATGGCTGCTGTGTTGTCGAGATCATTTGTAAAAACTGATTATCTGAACTGTCTGCACTGACCTCATTCTAAGAAAAGTGTGCTAGCACACAGCCTGAAGTTGGAGAAATAAAAAAAAGGTTATATTGCATAAACAGGGATTCGCACAGTATTGTGGCTTGACCGCCAGCCAGCTCATGATTATGTCCCTATTTACAGACTTCGCATACCAACACACTTAGACTTTAGCAAATAGACTATTTAGACCCATTTTCCTCGCGGGCCACATTTTAGTGACCATTTCCGTCGGAGGGCCATTATGACTGAAATCGTATAAAGAAGTTAAGAATAACAGTTTATTGAACTATTGTTTAAGTTACTGTAATGGGGTGTTTGGAAACAAGAACATGTTGACAATATCTCTCTTATTTATTACAGATGAGAATTTGAAATTTTGGTCCACATTTTAGCAAGCCTCATGAAGCCTTCTGGCAACTGTGGAGTCCAAAAGTTTATCTGAGTGGAAATCTGTTGGCTGCGATGATCAAACCTCATTTAGGAGTCGCCTAACTTGAGGAACATCTGCAGTCCCTTCTGAGAATCAAATAGAAGTTGCCAAGTATCCTGGGCACAAGAAACATCCACGGCAGGAAATTCAATTGTACAATTTAGATGCAATTAATTGGCCAAAAATACTTATTTTAAGTTGATTTATTTTAGAATACTGTATTATTATATACTGTGTTTTTAGGTTAAAAAAAACAAACAAAAAAAAAAACATTTAGTTTTGTCCAATAAGTGGTGAATCCTTTTGGCCTGTGAACAAAAGGGTGTTTTGAGTTTTGGCTCCCGATGCGATTGAGCTTGACTACCCCCGATTAGAGACTCTTGTGACTGGAATGTGGGAGGAAGATGAAGACACCCCACAAATGTCAGAATAACAATATGGAGCCATGTAAATCACCAGTTTACCATGCTGCTCTGGATGGAGTCATTCTGTAAAATGTACCAGACCGGAGCTGGGGCACCCCTGATCTACAGTATTCACAAACAAAGCAAGTAGTACCGAACCTACACTTTTCTTTACGTTTGACCGGAACATTTTGAGGTCAAAATTCCAAGGGGAATTTCAGATTCTCAAATGCAAAAAAAAAAGAAAATACCCCTCCCCCCAACAAAAAAATGTAAATGTGTATATTTTATATATATATATATATATATATTCTTCCTTAAATGTTAATCTTTCAATGCACTTTTTGTTGCTGATTCTTTCAAACACATTTCACCAAATGACTCTTAAAAAAAAAAAAAAAAACATTCCAAATCTCTTTCTCATAGGTGCATCAAACCCCAGCTGAAATCTTTTGCCTTGGGATTCCATGCTCTAGCAACACATACGCTTGGTAAGGTCTTTCAAAATGTATCCACAAGTAATACTGTTGTCAACCATGAGATCATGTACCGTTTGCCTGAGGGCTGAAATAATGTCCTTGTACAGCTGGAATCCCAGCCCCCATTTACTTTGGAGCAATCATTGACACCACATGTCTGAAATGGGGTCGGAAACGCTGCGGTGGAAGAGGAGCTTGTCGACTCTACAACACGACAAAGTACAGGTAAATCTCTATTCAGCGTAAAGCAATACGTGCTGTATAAGGTATGTACCCTCCACGGTGTTTTCAATTCTTTCCATAGGATAGCTTACCTGGGTCTCACTCTAAGCCTGCGGACGATCTCATTTCTCATTTGCATTCCGGGCTTCATCCTGCTCAGCAGGCAGCTGAAGGAGGAGGAGCACGCCGCCCTTCGTGGATCTCAAGCCAATGGCGGAACAGAGCTGGAAGCGCTTAGAAAGGAAGAACTTGGACTCTCAAATTCCGAGAAATTGCAAAGAACCTCAGAAAACGGCACAGACCGCGAGACACGACTGTGATTGACCCCCCCAAGCACCACCAACCTCCTTTTCATCACACATAAATGAACAAACTTATCTACACACACACACACACACACACACACACACACACACACACACACACACACACATTTGCAGTGACTATTTAAAGCATAAATTCTATACTGACTCTTTCACGTGCGTTGAGGATTTGAGAGAGGTTTGATATACTGTGGTTGAATATCCCACTGAAATATATTTGTTTTTTCTAAAATAAATAAATATCACTCTGTGTATGAAGGAATAATAATGCAACACTAAAAGTACAACAGGACAGAGGAAAAAAAAAACCTGTACCATCAGCAAAATCAAGCTGCAAAGTCAGAGAATAAACTCATCTTTTTAAAAAAAAAAAAAAAGGAAAGTTGGAACATTATGAGGATCAAGTTGTAAGTGTAATTTGAACAAGTGAATGTCACATTTCCCACATATGCGGTGGACCCCCGCTACTCACGAGCGATAATGTGCCAGCCCGCAAATAAGAAAATGTGAAAATAATTGAGGCTCATTAAAATTGCATTTAAAAAATAAAATTACATATATCTTCTTGAATAATAAGTAATATACCGTCAAGCGTTTTCCTCAAAAAACAGGTTGGGAAAAATAATGTTTGAACATGTTTGGTAGTTCTTTTTTTTTAACCTGTACACTTTGCCAAGAAGTCATGCTGGACAGGGGACCTGAATATCTTACAGCACTGGAACTGTTTTGCTGTGCAACGTTCGAGTTTTGATATCCTCCCTTCTTTGCAGTTTGTGTGGTATGGACATGTAACATGTATGTTTTGGGGAAACGCTGCTGGACAGTACAAGGTTTGAAACGGGGCGGAGAAAGGACAACTGAGCAAAATAAAGCCATTGTTTCAGCCAAGGATTTGGCTACAAGAAACCATCATCACAATGGGCCCCACCACTTCAACACCGCAAATTCAAAATCCAATGTTCTCAGGCCTTCGAATCGTCCTCACTTTTCTCCCCCATACGGCACCCTTGATTTTGGAGTTGAAACGTATCCGTTTGTGGATTGGGAAGCCATTGCCAGACCCTGTGAGCAAAGGAGGACCCGATACTAAACCTTTTCGGCCTTGCGAAGGCTACTGGTGTGTAGTAGCAGTTACAGCCGTTTAAAAGAATTTGAGTGTGGGGACAGTCCGGGAGGACAAAAGGATCACAAAGATTGTTATATGAAAAAAATCAGAGAAAAACAACAGCGACTGAATCCAACAGACCTACGGTATACACTGGTAACTGCCAACTGGTGAGCACAAGGTTCAGAGGACACCACCAATAGTATGCCCAGCCCTGGACCCCGTACAATAAGTGCATGTAACTGAAATTTGGGCGGCATTAGAGGAGAGCAGCGAGAGTACAAGGAACATCGCCGCTGCCTTGACCGCCACTCTAACACCCTGAATGTTTTGTGCCAGAAAGTGCCTTGCGGGGGGTTACGGACAGTACTGCATCGGGAGGTTGTGTGCTAAGTGTCTGGATTGTCATATCAGTGTCCAGTCTCCTCCAAGGAAGACTGCTGCCCCAACACCAGCACAAGGTCAGAAAAACAGAGGGACCCACCCTCCAGATTTATTGGGACTCTTGGCCTTTCCAGCATTTTCACTTTGACTCCCATCAAAATGGACATTTTAGCAACGCTAATAACAACCATCAGGGATCCGATTATTTATCTATTTTGAATGCAAAGACAGAACGTGAAAACACCACACAGTAAGGACAGAGCTGATATTTGAACCCTTAACCTCAGAATCAGAAGGCAATCACTGAAGTGCCCAAAGTGGATCCATAATGCCAATTCCAGACCCAACTTGTGACTCACACCGCACTGCTCTAGCCCTACTAAGACAAGATTGAACAGAATGCTGGCATACTAACTGGACCGTAATGCTTAGCAACAGTTCTAGGCAGCGCTTTGCTTCGCTAATAGGCACTCCAATTGGCATTTGCGGTCACCATGGCGATCGCTTACTGCCCCGCTTGCCCTGTGCTGTATGGGAGTTTCCATGCGATAAGCTGCGCCAAACATTGCCCTCGGCTTTCCAGCGATGGTTCTACTGTGACGCAAATACTGTAGTTCATTTATATTGCTGATATGTTTTTAGCTCTACCTCAACATCGTTGGACTTTACACCAGTGGCTTTGTTTTGTGACAATTGGGGCTGGGGGGTTGTGTGCGTGCGTGTGCAGAAACTGATGCCAAAACCCAACAGACATGATGTTCTCAGGTGTTCACGAGATTTTTTTCTGGAGCGGGACATCCTCCTGATACACTGAGCAATTGTACATTCAGAATATGTATGTATGTATAATGCCCTCATAAATGTCGAGAATATTGTTTGGAAGACTTTGTCTCGATGGACGATATGCGCTGTTTAACCAAATGGGAGTTTCAAATGTATTGTGACTACTGTCTTTTGAATTGGGCCGTGTCAGGCACAAGTATTATGTACAGACTAACAGTGGCGATGAGGCTTTCCAGAAGGAAGTTATCCATCATGTAACTTACATCACAAAAAAAAAAATCAGAATGTATTTAAATGTTCAGGATTACTTTTGTAAAATTGAATACATTTCAATATAACTTTTAATAACCAATCCTAAAAATGTGTTGGGCTGCTTTTGTATAAGAGGCCACCTTGCAAAACAAACAGCAACAAAAAAAAACCCATACAAAAAAATTAAAATCATCAAAAACATTCTGCAACTTCCCGACAGACATGTTGATTTACAATACTTGACTAGCAAAATGAACAAGGTATGCAGAAAGCCCATTCCCCATAGACGAAGTGAAACATTGGTGAATTTGGGTGTCAACATTCAACGTCCCGTGTGGCAAAACCCGTACACTGTACCATAACATACCACAAAAACATTCCATAACACATTTTTTTCATTTCACATCTTCAATTTAAGACAAGGATGGCCATGGGGGAATTTGCTTGACGTTGGAAATTGTTACCACTATGCTTCACCATGTAAAATTAAAGTTAATGAGAACATAACGATTTCTCAGTGCACATCCGAATAAATGTAAACGTATGAAAACAGCAACTTTTCACGAGTGATGGAGGTCAGGAAGAAGGGAATGATCCATTCAGAGATTGAGAAACAATTTCCGAGAAAGACTCAGCTGAAGGCATGCTGAATGGGCCTTTTTTTCCCTCTTGGAAAAGCATGCCAATATCGCTCCAGAGAAGTTCCCAACTAAAAAGAGAGAGCATTGACTCCAGCAGCAATCGTCTTAGTCGCAGTGCCAGAAAGAAAAAGGAAAGTGGGCGTGAAACTCCCCTTGAAGATAGTCAGGCGACAGGAGACCCAAAAAGATTCGCTTTGGGGAGGAAAAAGTGCGCCATTAAAAAGGTTGTGTGTACTTCAGGTGGTCAGTGGAGTGCTTGTTCCACAGGCTAGTCTTCTTTTTTGTTCACAGGACTTTGAACATTCTGGAAGTCAAAAAGGAGTACAGGGGACAAAGTTACTTTGTCGTTGTTGGTTCATATTTGACCTGAGGCATCTGTCGAGCTGTTTTTAGGAAAAAGCATCACCTGAAGCTCCTGATGTTCTTGAAGCAGTCTGTCGTACTCCCTAGCGAGACCGTCTGTCTGTTTCTTCAATCCATCCGCATCGCACTCAGACTTCTTCAGCGCTGCATTTGAAACACATGAACCACACATCAGAGATTAAAACCAAACAGCGGAGCAAATAGCTTTGTCACGGTTCAACAAACATCTCAAATGGGGGTGGGGGGTTGTGAAGCAAAGTATTGTTTGTTTGACCACTGTGGCGCATGGCAGTTTGTGCAACCAGCACACGCCCTAACATGCTTGAGGGAACAGATGTCAGTGAAAATGGCCTCAAATGTTTTGTTTACTTTTCCAGAGAACACAAGAACAATTTTTGGATGCTTTTATGCATCCATCCATTTTCTAATCCGCTTCTCCTCACAAGGGTCGCAGGCGCGCTGGAGCCTATGCCAGATGTCTTCGGAGAGCAAGCGGGGGGGGGGGGCACACCCTGATCTGGCTGTCGGCCAATCGCAGGGCACACAGACAAACAACCATTCACGCTCACAATCACACCAAGGGACAATTTAAGAGTGTTCCATTAACCTGCCATGCATTTTTTTGGAATGTGGGAGGAAACCGAAGTACCCCGAGAAAACCCACGCAGGCACGGGGAGAACATGCAAACTCCACACAGGAAATCCAGGGCCGGCCGGAATCAACGTGTGCACTGTGAGGCGTATGTGCTAACCATTAAACAATAGTGCCGCCTCTAAATTTTTATGATTCCCGTAATTTCGTTCCTTATGCTCATTGAACTCAAGTCAAGATACTTCATTTAATTCTCAATGACTCCTTACACAGCTGCGCACCGCTACGCAAACAAACTTCCGCATTCTCTGTCAGGCGGCCGGCTCCTCCCTCTCGTGTGTACGCTCCAACCACAAATAGCTGATGACTATTGAGAATGAGGTCCGACTCGGGACAGTTTCATTGGTCCACTGTGGCATGTTTGCTAATCAGATGTGACAATCTATTGATGGCTTGAAGCTCATCAGTCAGAAAAAACAAATAATCAAAACTTGGTGTTGAGTGTACTCATTTCACGTGGAGTGCTGTCACACTCACCATCTTCTGACGTCTTCAGTTCGTCTTTCAATTTCTCCACCTCTTTCCTCAAGAGCTCCATGCCCTCCGCTGTTGCTTTATCTCCCGCCCCCTCCATCAGCGTCTGGAATGATTTTTTTTTTTTTCACAAAGTTACAACAGCTCTGTGGTGTTGAATTATTCATCCAAAATGAATGCAATGTAATTTAAAAGAGCCTGCGTGGCGACAAGGCTGGTGGGGTTGGTCTGAGGTCGAGTGGAAGTGCACCATTTATCTAGGGGTGTGCATCTCTCCAGTTTAAAATAAATAAATAAATAAAAAATAAAACACTGAATACATATATCAATACATGAGGTGTGATATAATTCAATGATCGTTCATTTTGAAGCGCCACGATTCGTTTTTGGTTCAATTCAGTGAGATACTACGCAACATCTCAACACACGCGGCGTGAAACGGCGAAAATAAACAGCCAGTGGGTGAACGTTAAAGGTAGTTCTCACAGGAAGCTAACGTGAAGCTAGCGTCATAAAAAAATTCGAAGAAAGAACAAATCATCAGCAACATCAAACCAATTTATGACTTTAGATCAGTTTTTGACCGGTTCACTCGATATTGAGACTGGTTCATTTGTGTGTATCGCTACACTTACATCCTTTAAATCAAAATTCATTTTGCGATTCCAATCTGTTTTCCTACCAACCCCATCTATCTATCTATCGAGGGTACCTTCTTCAGCAGCTCGTTGTCTTCCAAGTACTTTTGGGCAGTTTTGTTTGCATTTTCAGCCTGCGCCTGCAGGGCAGTGGTGGTCCCAGACACTGAAGCCAGTTGGTTAATCAAGGTAACCACTCGCTTCATAACCCTTTTTACAAAGTAAACAAATAAAAGGTTTAAACTGATTGGTCTATGTATGTTTTTCTGTAAGAGTGAAGCAAAGACTCACAGCCAGAGGAAGACGGCGAAGCCAGATATGTAAAGGTTCCGCTGTGCCCGGAAAAGCTTCATATGCATGTGGTCATGCATGTTGGGCAGCAGCTTGGCATCTGTGCCGAGATTTTTAACCGAGTACTTTCTCACCTCGCGTACTGCATCTACAGAAGGAGAAACAGACCATGCTGTCACGCCATCATCTTTCATAAGATTCAAATGATCAAAAACACATTTTGGGAAATTTCAGATTTGTGATTCATCAGTGGGATGAACTCCAAAAAAAGCGTGATTAGCTTTCCCTTGTGATGCCATCAACGACGGGTACCAGTAAAAATAAAGCAAAAAATATAACTATAACAATAATAATAATAATAGCGAGACACGGTAGTAGGCTGGTTAGCACGTCCGCTTCACAGTGCAGAGGTGCAGGGTTCGATTCCGGCCCTGGCCTCCCTGCGTGGAGTTTGCATGTTCTCCCCACGCCTATGTGGGTTTTCTCCGGGTACTCCGGTTTCCTCCCACATTCCAAAAACATGCCTGGCAGGTTAATGGAACACTCTAAATTGTCATTAGGTGTGATTGCGAGCACGGATGATTGTTCGCCTATGTGTGCCCTGCGATTGGCTGGCAACCAGTTCAGGGTGTGTCCAGCCTCCTGCCCGAAGACAGACGGGACCGCCTCCAGCACACCCCATGACCCTTGTGAGGAAAAGCGGATCAGAAAATGGATGGATGGATAATAATAATAATAATGATGACGATAGTAGAACCGGAAACATCGTTAATCCCCCCCCCAAAATTGATGGTTAATCAGCACATTATAACTGATTGTGCGCAATTCAGTGTGCAGCTATTTATTTATTTCAATAATTCCTAGACAACTATGATTGCACTTACCAAGGAAAAGGACAATAAGTATGATAATCATTGTAAGGAAGACTTTGTTTGAAAAGTGGGCAACCGGGCTCCAGATCCTCAAATTGAAAATGCTCTGCCACCTGAAACACACACACACACACACACACACACACACACACACACACACACACACACACACACACACACACACACACACACAATTTATCATGCATTGATCCCAGAAATGACGTGATGATGGAGTGCAGTGATGCGATGTCAAGTGGCTGTGTGACGAAAAAATGTTGTGAGGTTAGTTCATGAAACCTGAGAAAGTTGTGTGGTAGTGATGTGCCAAATGAAAACAGGCTTCGGAGCAAAAGTGGGCGTGCCAAATGAAGCCTGGATTTAGAGTGTGTGTCATTGAGAAGAAATTCACATAACCGATGACATACGAGGCCTCTGTTTGTTCGGATAATGTCGCTGGCGCATTCAACATATCCTTCTCTCCTAACACTCGAGACCTTGTACATTTTGGCAGGTGTTATCGTATGGAGTGAACTTCATGTTACCTTGCGAGTTCAGGAGTCACTCTGTGTGTAACAAAAGAATACATAAAAGTTCTTGTGTATGGTTAGCAGTTGTGTTTATTTTTTATTGCGGCCAGTACATGTGTAGTCATTATATCGTTGTATGTACTTGTTGCATGAGAGTATACACTTATGCTCTTTCACTCACAGTGTCATGGGCTTGATGCCTGAACAGATTTTGACAGTTTTAAATTCTGATATTTATTTATAAACATATTATTAAGACATACTTGCACTACGCACCAACTGCTAAAACTGCAATGTGGTCAAATTGTCACTGTTTAGCCTCCAATCTTATTTCATTCTGTGTACTGTAGATGTAATCCTGTTTTTGACCACATGATGGCGCCATAACACCATGAAACTTTGAACCATGAGCAGATCAATTGGTTGGAATGCTTCAAGATTAATTCTGCCATCACGAGGTGTGCAGGTTTGAGGTGTCAACAGTTGACACTTTGTGGTCGATCTCGAGAGGTTGGCTGCGTGAAAAGTAATTCCAAAAAGTTGAGCACCCCTGTTTTGGGGATAACTTTTAGACACATTTCAGAGATGGTGACTTCATCAAAAGGGGCTTTAAAATTGGCCCAACAAGTGTCATGTGCGCTCTCCTTTTCCGTGTGTGTGTTTTAACGATGTAGTTGCTTATAAAACAATGTATATCACCGCTTAGCTGAGATGAAGGGCAGGCAGAGGATGCAAAGGATGCCTATCTCCATATAGAGGAAGAGGGCCACAGCGGTCCATTGCAGCGTCATCTTTCGGAGGTTAGGTCAACTTGAAAAAAAAAATGCAAAAGGGCAAGATTAGCGCACACTGGTTTTACAACCTCCGTCATCTTTGCGACAGGTCCAATGAAAGGCGTGGTCCATCTTCATCAGGAGAGTTCTCTACCAGTCTGTCAACAGGTCATGCATGACTCAAGACTGAGTTTGCATTACAGTACATTACGCGGCGCCACGCCGTCACAAACAACAATAGACGTAAAATACTCCTCATAAAAGGAACGGCTGCGACTACACGAGAAAATTATTCGCACTTGCTTACATTTCCCACTGCACGGCAAATTTAAAGTGACCGCCAGCCAAACTTCTAACCTGCGTTATTTAAAACCATAAGACTGCGTTTCATACAGGCTGCACTGGAAGAATATGCCTTGTTGACTTACCAGGAAAGCGCACAATCGACGTCTCAACGGACTTTCCAACTTTTGACTAAAACAATACTGGGAGCACAAAGTTGTATCAGTCGATCTGTTTGCCACACACACTTCCTGCTTCATGCAACCGCCTCTATGCTTCCGGTAGGAAGTAGGAAGCGTGCCTTCCGCTGCTTCCTTTTAGATTAAAATGACATGTAGTCATGAGGTACGTATTGTGGCAAAAATAGTGGTAGTTGGGGCACAAAAATGTCAAATTTGACAAAGTACTCTTTGCTGTGAACGAAATAACTATAATCCCTGAAGGGTGCATTGAGTGCTCCTAAAGTGCTTTTATTGTGAAAGAAACTGACTTCCGTCAGTTCTGGTCCAGTCAAATATCATTTAAAAGTTTTTGTTGTTTTTAAATGCACTAATGCATTAATCCTGTAAATGTGTAAACAAGTCGATTGAATCCTCACAACTAAGTATTAAATCATATGTAATTAGTTTAATATGATAGCACAGCAGAGAACAAAACAAGTGTCATGACATCAACACAGGGGTCAATCTGTAGCTTTATTCACAGTGTTACAACTGACCACAAATTAGCAGGATGAGTGGTTAACACACGTGCCTCACAGTCAAGAGGTCCAAAACCATGCATGCATCTAATGCTACGCTACGTTTACAATATGTTCCTCTTTGTTCCGTTATTGAAGCTTGTTTTATCCCCTCAAATTGGTTGGTCAAAATGCGTACTTGTTTACTTTTTTTTTTTAATAACTTCTTAGTTGAAGTACTGAAAATAATTAAAATACTACTAAAAAAATGAACTGACCGGTTATTTATTAATAATTAAATTGTAAGTAAAACTAAAATGGGCATATATTGTATTAAAATTCACAGATTTTCATAACATACAAACAGTAAAATTAGCATTTTTACATTTTTCACTGATTAAATAATTGGCTAATCAATCCATCCACTTTAGTATGAACACTTGTCGTAGTTGGCTTGACTTTTTGACAGTGTACACTCAATAAATGGTTACCCAAGGCAGAAAAATGACTTGAGCATTTTTTTTTAGTCTGAGGTACTCGAATTACTCGGGTTTCAGCCCTACTTTACAGTGAAACAGTATTCATGTATGAAAGATGCTATGCAAGTAAAGTTTAATTTGACACGCGAGTGTGAATATTTCTTTGCCTATATGTGACAGACAATTGGCTGGTGACCACGTCAGGGTGTCCTTTGCCCTGAAGTCAGCAGTGATGGGCTCCAGCTCACCTCTGACCCGAGTGACACAAATGCAATCGAAGATGGACGGATGCTCATGTGACCAAATCATACACTGAACCATATGTACTCTGTAGGTAGTCAATTACAGCTGATGTACTACATAAAGAATTGAATACTTTTCTTTCAGGCTGGGAGCTAACCCTTTCAAGCATGTAGATGAGATGATTGTGGAAGCACGTAAATGGAGTGCCCTGCTGAACAGAGATGTCCACCCAGTCCCATATACACTCCAAAGGTGTATCTTCATGCCCCGCAAACAACGCCGGGTTAGCGAGCAATCCTCGCGCTACCATCACACCTAAAACAAATCGCCAGGAAATTAATTTCAAATTGATATTTTTACCAAAGCAATTAAAAAAAAAAAAAAAAAAAAACTCACCATCTACACCGGTGAGCTGGTGAATAGACTCCACATCGCGTGGGTACTTGATGTCCCCGTTGGCAATGACCGGAATGGACACGCTGTCTTTGATTGTCTTTATGGCGTCGTAGTGGACTGGCTGGTGGCGCTCCTCCGACGTACGACCGTGCACGGTTATCCACGCCACACCTGCTGACTCAGCCTTCTGGCACAGATCAACTGTCTTCCTCAGGTCATTGTGAATTCTACAGATTAAATTGAATTATTATCTTCTTTTTTTAAATTCAGGTCTGAATAGCTTTCTCGTTTACCTTATTTTAATGGATGTTGTATAGTTTGGATTGTCCACTTGGTTCCTGACGTGTCTGACCATGTCTTTAACCAGTTCAGGCTTGTTGATAAGGCACGCACCATATCCCGCAGACATGGCCCATCTGAAGACAAGATATTTCATACAACTCAAAGAGGTTGCTGCTGCCATACTTAAGCAGGCTTAATAAATATATTGATTCTGATAAATACTGAGACCAAAAGAGTGGAAAAAGTATTGTAAAGCTGGATTTACACTGCATGGTTCAAGTGACACTTGCTCCCAAGTGGGACAATTGGGACATACATCGTGGCAGCGAAAATACACCCCCGCCCTCCCCGTATGGAACCAAATATCATCAACTTGGGATCAGGGCCCTTCCAAATACGGATACAAATCTGATGCGTATAGGATACGTGCCAGTGTGACTGCCCAGTCAATGTAAACTTGATGTCTTACGCCAGTGGGTGATGAATGCACACCCAACGTTTGCCCAAACAACACAAACAAACTCATTACAAAAGTACAGATCATTAATAAAATCCTTGTTTCAGGTCTCTGGGATTAACCTGCAAAAAATAGCTCTTCAAAATGAGAAAGTTGCTGCTCAATTTAAGTCACTGATTTTAACAAAACTGCTCTGCTTATTTCGAGCCTACCACTCGCCATTAATTTATGATATATCCATCCATCCATTTTCTAATCCGCTTATCCTCACAAGGCACCCCTGATCATTCTCAAGATTTTCCTTTATAAATCACTGGTTGTTCGGATCTGCAGTTTCAGTGAAGCAGTTTTTTTTTCCAAGATGGCACCCGAATAGGCTTTTTTTGTTGTTGTTGCAGGATTATTATCAGGCTCCTATGGCGCTTGCTGATGAGCTGATAATTTGGATGGGGTGTTTTGCAACAGGGAAAGATGGAAAACATGCAGGACACCGGCCCTCGAGGACTGGACTTTGACACCTGTTACTTGATTATTACAATAGTTGTCGATTAATTTGATTATCAATTAGTTGTTAAGTATTTATGACATCTCTAATCTGTTGCAGACCTACTGTGTAAATGCAATATAAGAATGCAATGCAAGGAGATAGACATGCACCTCTGGGGGCATCCACAGTTGAGATCAACTCCATCTGAGAAAGGTGCAACTGCACACGTTGCATCAACCAGAGTCTGGGCGTCGTGGGCAGCAAACTGCACAATTAGGGGTCTGTCACCTAGGTAAAAAGGAACAGTAAAACATTTTTTTTAACATCAAACAGCTCTCAATCGATTAGCAGCACTCAACATTGCCTGAATTACTCCTACTCACACTCATTAGTAGTGAATTCACTGTCTCTGGCTTTGATGGATCGCACAAAGTCAGATGCAACTATCATTGGAGTGAAGCAGATGTCACAGTTGTACTTCCTTACCAATGACCTGAAAGCCAGTCTGTGGAGAAATTATAGCAGAGGGCTAATGATTCACAGAGGAGCCCTACAACACTATGTGCGGGTTTCAAGGTAAGAGCTACAAACCTGCTGACGCTCGCACAAATGCATTAATTTTTATTAATTGCATTACGTTGGTTGTAGAATGCAGTGGTGCACAACAGCATCAATAAGTAAACGCACAGAGACAAAATAAATGACAACTTACTTCGAATAACGAACCATCGGCGCACAGATCTTTACCACGTTTCCTTCTTCAAACATGCCCACGACGTTGTTGCGGTGAGTGGTCTTCATTCTTCCAAGGCGTAGCGTTAGCACTTAGCATAAACAGCTAACACCGCTCAGTGCCCATTCGTCGGCACTCGCTTCCGAAGCACCGTGTCACTTTGCCTTTAACTGCCTCAAATCAAATACAAGCACATTTTTGACAACACGTCACTGTGTTGGTAAATCTAGAGGTGCGAGCAAAGTTTTAGCTTCGAACACGTAAAACAAGACACTTTCATCTTCCATGCCGAATCTTGTGGGCGTGGCTTTGGAAAAATGACGCCATCAAACTAAAAGTACAGTATGTTTCAAATTAATAATTATATAACAACTGCCTGCCGCTCTCATTCGTTCAAGACCGGGTGGAAATATTTCTTATTAAAAGAAAAAAATGTGGTTTTAAATTAAATAAAAATTTTCAACATTTCAACAAGCTTTTATAGATGTTCCCTTTATATGGACGTTGGTTTTCCTCCAAATTGAAATCATTGCACTCCTTGGTCACTACGAGGCGCTCAAACACTACAGAAAAAAAAAGCCCTTTAAACTCTTCAATCCAAAATAACTTCATGTGTATGATTGCGCAATTGTTGGAGATCTAGATTAGTCATTATTGTTTATAGTTTTATTGATGCGGTTTGCAAGTACTGTAGGAAGGATTATTTCAATTGTGTGTGTTTCCAGCTGTCCATCCATCTAATCTTCTATGACGCTATCCCCCACCCAAATATTAAATATTGACCTCGAATTCTATTATTTCAAACTGGCACCAAATAAGTCAACAATAGCAAAATGAAAAAAACATCGAGGCACGTAAAACAAAACACCACAAATATTGAATTAGTGACACAATAAATTTATTAGATGATAAAATCTCAAATGTTAAAAGAATAAATACAAAATGTCATTCAAATGCCATAGAAAATGCAATGAAGTGGAATGCAGTGTGTTACTTTTCACTGGTAGGCCAGTGAGAGGTATCAACAATACTGTATTTGTCACTTTAAGACTCATGTTCCATCTAATCCACCCACATTAATATAACACATTTGTTAATGTCTATAATATAGGCTGGGAAGATCTTAATTTGTGCTAATTTAGTGAAGAAATAATAATAATAATCCCTAAGTATCCTTTGTACAGTGGGGTTATCTTCAGCGAGTGATTTCTTTGCATGCATCACAAACCCTGCACAACAGTGAATTTCTCTTCCTTTCATTAACTAGTAACAGTCTTTGCGCTCATTAAAAATGTTAAACATCAGCAGTGACAATTTGATGGGAGCCTTAGATGGAGGGCAAGTCATTAGCCTCCACTGGGCGAGGGCCGCAAAAACACAAAGACCGAGACAGATACAGTATATGGAGAAACTAGTAAAAAGATCATTTCTAATGGATGACTCATCCACTGAGAAAATTGGGAAGACATTGAATGAATAGGTGTTCCCTCTAGCTTAGACTATGTCTCTGTTCTCTGTCATTAAAAATAACATGAAGTTAAGTAACGACTCAAATGTGAAGACAACACAGCTGGGTCAGCGACAGACAGCCAAAAGGGGTACGTTATAGGACAGGAGTGACCGGAATAACATGTTCTGTGTTCCTGAAGTGGCTTCCTGCTGCCTCCAACTCGATGCTGGAGAGGAAACGATTGCCTCGTCGGTGGCGGTCGTAGCTCAGCTCTGTGGCGTACACAGCGCTCATTTTCTTTGGGTAGATGATGGTGGTGCTTGTAAAACTTTGTGGCCGATGCCGGGGCTGGAAATCCAGCTGTGTCTTATAATGACGCCAGGTGCTGTGGGACACGGCTGTGATGGTCTGCGTGCAGTGCTCCAGGCCCTGACCCCACGGTTGCAGGGCCACATTCTGAATGAAGTGGCGGCCAGAGTCATAGTGCACTGAGGAGGTGTATCTGTGGATGACGGAAGATGATTCCTGACTGTTGTTTGTGCCTATGCAGCAAACAGCTGACTTTGGCTGAGAGGAGGCGTACACCCTGGACTGGTCTCCAACCAATATCAGGGCACATGTTGACAAATGAGCATTTACTTTCAAATTCACCCACAGTTTAGAGTCTTCAATGAATCTAACGTGCATGTTTTTGGACTGTGGGAGGGAGATGGCATAACCGGAGAATACCCGCATTAGCATGGGTAGAACAAGGCTGCAGCCAAGAGTTAAACACTGAGCCGCAGAACAAAATGAAACGGCTGGATTGTTTGAAGGGCTTTGACAGACTCACCTTACTTCTTGAGGAGGTAAAGAGTCAATAATGATTCCCTCCCCATAGGACAAAGGGTGAAAGGAACCAGAGGGCAAATCTGACACCTGCAAAATAAATGAAATTAATCAAGAATATTAGGATAATAGTTTGTGTGGTCCAGTTTATTCTAAAATGAGCAATTGGGTTAATTCAAAAACTACAGTGCTGTAGTTTGTGCCGCAGCATAACAATATCTTGTCATATGGCACAAGAAGGTACGCTCAGTTACTCCTGCACTTACTGCTTTATCATTTGATTTGTGTATGGCATACAAATCTTTTCATTCAATTATTTATTAATTTACTGCTGCACTAGCAGCTTAGTAGGTAGGTTCTGGCCTGCGCAGGAATTCGGATCACGCCGCCGCCATAAACTGCTAATGCTAACTACTGTAATGTAAAAATTCCTCATAAACCAATCATGAGCTGCAACTTTAAACATTGTTAGTTGATAATTGCTCAAGTAGTTCTCAAACTTATTACACTAAGAGCCACCTAAAACAAAATACATAGCTCTCCATGTACCATCGCCTTGACAAGCAATAAAATAAGCAGAGTAGGCTTATGCATTCATAAAAAATGAGACCGAAGTTTTATTCCTAAAAAGTATACAGTATTCTATAAAATTTTCAGCCATTGTTACATTACACACAGTGTGAACATTAACATTGTCACTCACATCATGAGTGACGTGACACTAAATGAAAACAACAGTACTTAAATAATTGAATTAAAATGAAATGCAACAAGAAAACATCACCAAACGTTTAAAATCAAACAGGCCTTAAAGATGAAATGCAAATATATTGAACTGAAAAGTTAAGTGCCCAGTGATTCTTTTGCATACCTCGAAAGGAGCTCCCTCACCACTAATGGTAGCGCATGTGCCAAATTGAGAATTGTTGGCCCCAATAATTTTTAGCTTACTGTCTCAATATCAATAATTTTTAAAAAGTGCATAGAAAGTTTGTCTGTGTAGATTCTCAGTCATCCAGGTTCATGACAAAGCAGAGGTTGAATCAAGCCATTTGGACGATTCTTGTTTGTTGCAATTTTTTTTAATTTTTTTTTATTCTCGTTGTCCGAAAATGTGCAAAAATGTCTTTTATGCTATTAGCCTAACGCCACCCATTTGTTCAATAAACACCTTTCAAATAAAGGCCTATTACTTTCTGCACTCTGAGGAAATACTGGTATAATGGTATACTCATCGAGTCGCTAACTCACTTGTGATTTTTTTGTCTGTTTTACATAACTAAGTATTCTTAATTTAAGTGTGTGTATATATATATATATATAGAGAGAGAGAGAGAGAGAGAGAGAGAGAGAGAGAGAGAGAGATTTTTTTTTAAGGGACTCACATCATGAGTGACGTGACACTAAATGAAAACAACAGTACTTAAATAATTGAATTAAAATGAAATGCAACAAGAAAACATCACCAAACGTTTAAAATCAAACAGGCCTTAAAGATGAAATGCAAATATATTGAACTGAAAAGTTAAGTGCCCAGTGATTCTTTTGCATACCTCGAAAGGAGCTCCCTCACCACTAATGGTAGCGCATGTGCCAAATTGAGAATTGTTGGCCCCAATAATTTTTAGCTTACTGTCTCAATATCAATAATTTTTAAAAAGTGCATAGAAAGTTTGTCTGTGTAGATTCTCAGTCATCCAGGTTCATGACAAAGCAGAGGTTGAATCAAGCCATTTGGACGATTCTTGTTTGTTGCAATTTTTTTTAATTTTTTTTTATTCTCGTTGTCCGAAAATGTGCAAAAATGTCTTTTATGCTATTAGCCTAACGCCACCCATTTGTTCAATAAACACCTTTCAAATAAAGGCCTATTACTTTCTGCACTCTGAGGAAATACTGGTATAATGGTATACTCATCGAGTCGCTAACTCACTTGTGATTTTTTTGTCTGTTTTACATAACTAAGTATTCTTAATTTAAGTGTGTGTATATATATATATATATATATAGAGAGAGAGAGAGAGAGAGAGAGAGAGAGAGAGGGGTAATGTACAATGAACAGGGAAATAATTACTATTGGGGTGTATTTAGGGTTTTAATTATAGTATTATAGCGAACATTTACACACATGCATTCGAGTCAAATACACATCGGACTCATGAGTCACACTGACACTGATGGTGACCAAATGATAAGCATCCAGTCGATTACCTACCCGCGATCCGTTTCTTTCGTCCTCCGGTACCGGGCTCACGCCGCGGGCTTTGTCCTGAGGCAGCAGCCAAGCGCTGGGACTTGGGCTAGGTGGTAAACCGGAGTCCGGGCTGTCAAGCCCTCTGTCCGCCCGGCAGCTCATACCAAGTGGGTCCTCTTCGCAAACATTTGGAAAGTTCAACCGTCTGACCATTTCCTTTCCAAGTGAGAAGTTGCAAAACTCCGGCAGCCGGCAACGCTTCTTGCGAAGGAGAACAGCTACCAGAATGTGGTTCACCCGTTTTTTGTAGGTTTTTTTCCCCTCCGTGCTCACGTTTCACTGCTTCCCTTGCTACTTACAGGGATGCTCACAGTCAGGGAAGAAAAAAATAATTTCCCAACTCCGACAAGCCTTCAATTTAAATGGCCTTTGCACAATAAACTGGAGGTGCTATGTTCATATACTTTATACTGTATTTTCTGAACGGACAAGGCAAAGTTGAACATAACTTGAAAAGCCTCGAGGCTGATCTTCAAACTTCTCCCTCTTTAAATCCTCCTCGCGTTGAAAGAGGAAAGACACGCCCATTCCAAGGCTTTTTTTTTCCTCGATTCTGATTGGATGAACAAAAGAAAACTCGAAAGCAATATTTGTTTTGACTCCCAACATGGCACCAAGAGACCACTGGGGCAAAACACGCAAGACATGAATACTACAATGGCTGATTTGGACGAAGCCAACCGATGTTTGGTTGGCAGCTCTGTGTATGTGATATCGAACATAGTGAACAGAATATGCCCCCTAAGGCCTAAAAAGGGGAAGAAGCTTTAATTTTCTTTTTCATAAATTCATGAAAGACAAGCATACATATTTCAAATCAATATACTAAGATTTGCCAAATAATTCTATGGCCCTTTATTTGTCATAAAAAGAACAACGTCAACATTTAGCTTGGATGAAGTTGCCTGTACAAGACTGATGAACAACATCCATTCTTTTCAGTGCAACTCATTGATCAATCTATGGCCATTGTGTGAACACAGACGCGAGGAAATTGCACAAAAACGAGTTTATGTACCAAAAGCAATTTGCATTTGAGGAAGTTTCTGAAGAACTCACGATGAACTTGGATTTATTTTTCTCCGTGATGGTAAATGAAGTAATCTCTTTTATTTTTAACAATCACTAAATGGAGCAGAATGACATTTCGTGAGATGAATAATTGAGTGGTAAAGACCAGCCAAGCAACACACAGTTTCTTGAAGTGCTATTCCTTCACAGTCTTTTCTTGATGAGTTTTTCGAGCTTGCGTATACGCGATGACTCCTGCTCAGGGGTGGGGGCACTGAAAGACAAAGAGGTGCTGCCATCGGCCCCAGAGGGTGGTGTGGGTAACCTCTGTCTGAAGAGCTCCAGCATGCTGCTCTGCTCACCACGTTTTAAACCCTACGCACCAAAGAATGACAACACACAGATACAGTTGCTAAAAGCATTTGATAAAGATACTGGTACGAGCATAACATGCCTGTGCTAAGTTGTCTATGTTTTTTGGATTTACATTCACCCGGATGAGTCCAAAATGATTTGAAACTGGGCAAACCAACAAACCTTCATGTCAAGTATTTTCTGGAACGTCTCAGGATTGCCATCAGCCAAGAGCTTGATGTAGTTATCCACAAACACCACAGGCGGTTCATGTGGGGCCATCACCACCTATAAAAAAAAACAAAACCAACAAAAAACTAGTAGTCTATAAGTTTGTCTTGACACTTCCTCTGTAATACACACACACACACACACACACACGCACACAAAAGCAAGGTTAAACAAATGTGGGGATGGGGGTTGCTTTTTTAACAGTTCCCAGAGGAGACCTTCACAAGTGAGCATTGGAGTGATGTTGGCCTGGGTGGAAAACAGCCAAGTCTCACAGGCGTTGCACCAGCAAGGAGAGACCGCCTCAGTCGGAAAGCTCGGAACATAAGTGGCTCACAAAACGACCTCAATGTACACAACAAACCGACAATCTTCTCTAAAATGAAGGAAAATGTCTTGCGCAGCCAACAGCTGAGGTCCACAAAAAAAAAAAAAAAAGTGTGCAAACTGCATAGCATCAAACAATTAAGTTCTATTCATATCACACCTTATTAACGTATTCACAGAAAGCAACCAAGCAAGAACAAAATCCAGGGTGGCAACGTTAAACCTCAAGCAACTGCAACAGCGAGAGAAGTAAAATAAATAAATAAATAAATAGTAATAAATACAATAATGGGAGAACACTTTGAAACTTGTTGGAAGCCAAGCAGAATAGGCTCAGTTATCAGACATACTGTGAAAACATGTCAGTCACTACATCCATACTGGAATGTGCTGTACTTGGAATGCGCATAATTAAATGGATGGTCGTATGAGATGCATAAACGGTACAGCAAGAACAGTTCACACAAGTGAGAAAATAAAAAAATGATGTTAAGGTATCATGAAGCAGAATATGTACTTAAATAGAAGACAGCCTTGAGACAATGTGTGATTCCAACTAGAACAGAAAAAAAGTCCCTCAATGCAGTAAACGTTAAAAGCTACAAATCTCGAAATAATGTGGGCTTACCATCCATCGATTAAAAACGTATTTTATTTAATTTCAATCAACGGTCCATCAAGACACTTATGTTGTAATATAAATATGGTCATGTTGTCCCGCCCCAAAAAAGGGTACGGCCAAATCTGTGTTGGTCGCACCACTGCTACCAGTGCAAAATTCATCCTGATCCCTCGAGCTGCTCTCTTAGAACTGAGAGCTGAAGCTTTGGAGAAAATAAATCCTTGCTTGGGTCTGAAAAGTCTGTAAATCTGGCAACATTCATATGGAAACACTGGGCAGCAGATCTGTTCGAAGGGAATCTGCAATTTGATTGGTTAGTAGCACCACGTGGGGCGCTGTGCCGGCTCAAAGTCGAGATGGAGCAGAAAAGCGCTACAGCTCAATGTTGCCGAATGAAGGCAGCTGAAAACAGACATTGATGTTTGTTTTCAAACGTTTGCATTCACCCACAAGGCAGACAGAAGAAGAGGGAGGAAAAATAATTTCTCCAGAACAACTCAAGCCTTTCCAGGACATTTAACTTTTTCTCTAATTTTACACGTGTTTTCCATAACTGGAAAACTGGTCAATCATTTTCCAGGTTTTCCAGGACGCGTGGGAACCCTTATGGTACCTTTCCTGGACACGACGTCCACAATTTCAAAAAGCAATTTGAAAATGTGGAATCAACAGACCACAGGAAACTTTTCCACTTTGCATCAGTCCATCTCAAATGAGCTCGGCCACAGTGAAGCCAGAAGCTTTTCTGGGTGTTGTTGATATATGGCTGTCCATTTGCATGAGACACTTTCAACTTGCTTTTGTAAATGTAGCGACGGACTTTGTTAACTGACAATGGTATTCTGAAGTGTTCCGCAGCCCACATGGCAATATTCTTTGAACCAGGGGTCACCAACTCCAGTCCTCGAAAGCCCCTATACTGCATGTTTTAGATGTTTCCCTCCATTTCAGCTGACGCTCCTTTTGTACCCAAGCATAACACTCACCCATTTCCAATTTAAGTAATCACAAATGAAATGTTCTCATGTGTTCTTGAAGCATTTCTCAACGGTGTCAGTTTTTTTGGTGCTCCCGTCTGAGCCTTTTGGAACGTGTTGCAGAAATGATATAAAAATGACAACACATGGGGGGGAGAGAAAACGTTTGCCAGTTTGAACATGACATATCTTGTCTTGGTTGTGTATTCAACTGAATGTACAATAGGTTGAAATTGATTTGCAAATCATTGTATTCTGTTTTTATTTGCATTTTACACAATGTTCCACTTACATTGCAAATGGGGGTTTTATGCTCCAGTTAAAAAGGCTGCTGGGAGTCACAAAAAAAATGAAAAATATGGACAGTTGGTTGATATTTTGCATAATATTATACTATTAAGATGTAAATAATCGTGTGCTGCAGTCATAAGTTACGAAACATGTGCATGTGAAGAAATGGGTGCCTACTTGATTGGTCACGCGAATAGGACGTGGAAGCTGATCTACTACTCCGCTGAGCTGTGAGGCTCTTAAATCAAACCCTTCGTGTGCAAACACTGGCTTTGTAACACAAACACCAAGCAATTTTCTAAGTGCAGATTTTGCTACACTGTCAGAACTGAGATAAAACATCAAAAACCTGAAAAGATAACAGCCATATAGCGATAACACATGAAATCCATCTCACTGGTTGTCAAGCCGTGAGAAGGAATTCCACAACTCATGCAAGTCTGCTGATCGACATCAAGAAAATACAGCAGAACCAAGGTCAAACTTCGGAAGGAAAGAGGGGCTCTCTGGAGTCCCACCAAATTCAAAAGGCAGACAGGCATTCACTTAAGAGGGTGTGGGCATTTTTCTTCACCCCAGGGACAGTTGATAAGGGTGGGGCAATCCGGGGCAGTAACATACGAGGGTCCACATGGTTGTTTGAGACAAGGTCAGTTGTCTTGACTGTCACAATTACTCTTTGCAGTAAAAACTACATCTAACGTACATGCTATGTTTTGGACATCGTCTTTAATTTTGTTCATAAGTATATAGATTTTTTTAAAAACATATTTTTGGATAAGGGGCTAGCTGTAAGTACTTTGCTCAAGGATGCCAGGTCTGTGGTTTGAGGTTTACAGGATGGTGGGATGGCCCGTTCCATCCCAGGAGCGGAGAGATGGACCGTTCCGTCCCAGGGACGGAATATCCATCTCTGCCTCAAGCTATCCTGTTTAGAATAATGTCAGTAAGCCTACCAGAGTTGCTCACCTTAAGTATCATCTCTGCACGGGTCATGCCCTTCACCACAATCTTGGTGTAGCTTGCAGGTGCCTTGCGAAGTACCTGGGAACCTATAGAGGGTAGGTCTAGCAGGACGGTCTTCAAGGAGTGTGTGTCCAGAAGGAGCTTGTTCGAAGGAACAGACAAAATAAAAAGCCAGTCAAAATCAGAGCTGTGCATTTGTAGCACCTTGAGGCAGAAATAGATTTGGATGCACGTACTTGTTCTGCTCCCACCATGCTGATAGGCTTACATCTGAACAAGTGATTGATAAATTTGGGAATGAAAGAGCTAGAAAAGGGAAATGACAAAATTCAATTCATGTATCTTCACTTCTGACTCATGTACCACTAAACTAAGGATCTCTCATGGGTATTACTTTGTGAATTTGATGCAGAATTGCGTGAAGTATTTGCGCGTGGAGGCCAAATTGTCTCTGATGATTGGCACATTCTGCTTTATGTGCATGATGATTGAAGTCACATAGGGACTCTGGTCACCGACATGCTCCACATTCTGCCACGGCATCTGAGAGGAAAAGGAATGTGCATATACAGTCACATTGCCTCCTCATAATATGCAATTCCTGTTTTATTGAATGGAGTTTGATGTAAGAAGAGAAATAAAATAGTGTGTCTGACCTTGCTCATTGCAGTGAGAGCAGGGTCACAGGCAGCATCAAGATCTTGAACAAGTAACTGGATACTATTCGAGATCACTCTGGTACAATAGTGAAAATGAGAAGACACTAATATCACAAATGATCTACTCAAAAGCAGGCTGCTATACAAGATCATCTATATTTGCTACATACGTGCTAAATGTATCCATCTCCCCAGTCAAATTAATTCTTTCCACCAGGATTTTATCCACTTTCTCTTTTAGTTTCTCTTCAAGCTGAAAGACACCACACATGTATATCCAAGATTTAATACAGCATGACAGGAATCTCAATGAGAGAAGAAAAAAATATCAATCTATTGTGTTCATTATTATGTTGATGTAAAAAAAAATATATATATACACATTTACACAATTTACATGTACATGCCTGTTGCGTAGTAGCAAGGCAGTACTCGGCAGTGCTGAGGATGCTACAGATGAGGCACAGCTCATCAAGAGTGAACTTGGCCGTTTCCGAGGCTTCTTTTTCTTTCAGCAGACTGCTGATCGTCAGAACCCCACTGTTACTGCTCGACCTGTAGATGGACATATTTTACTTAAAAAGACATATAAAGTGACTTAGGTTAACAGCCAGAAGAAAGCGATATGATCAGTCACCATGTAAATCAAGCTGTTCTCAATATTTTTTTTTAAAATTAGGTCATAACTCATGATATTAGACTAATGGGCCAGTGGACCCTCGAGAGTTTGTTTAAGTGATCGCATATGGTCGACAATATGGCATCCATAAGTCAGCGAGTGCACATGTGTAATTAGCATTTTTGTGTATCGGCAACACAAACAGTCAGCTGTCAGTGATGATTTCTAGTGTGGTTAGTGATCCAAATAATTTTACTGCAATTTGCACACAGTTGCGATTACATAACCCACTCCAATTGCCACATTACTGCTACCCATCAAAACAGGGCAAGGACTGAAGCTATTCCATTTCAAAATGAATTTTCAAGTCTCTAATGGTTTTATCACCGCACTAAAAGAAAGACCACATATGGGTGTGACAAATGTGGATTAAATTATGATTCTGTTCAACAGAACTAATGTGTTCTTACTTAGGCAGATTGCCTGTGAGGATTTTCCAGGCATACTCCCGTAGGAATTTCTGGAAGATGGTTGTAAGGGCAATCATAGGCTCCCCAGTACTCAGCTGGGAGCACTGGACCATACACTTCTTGTAATAGACAAAGAGGTCAGCACAGCTTGGCAGCACAGCACCACCCTCATCGGTGGCAACCTTGGGTGGGCCCTGTGCTCGGAAGTCAGCCACAAACCTGTCTATCAGTTCACCTAGGTTCCTGTAACACAGACGGTATACCAGATGTATTAACAGGCAAGCATGTAAAAAATTTATAGTCAAGTCTTTGGATTTAATTGAAGCGAGCACTGACGAGCACCATTTAAAGCTGCACACAACAACCATTCAATCACAGCTCTTCTAAAACTGCATTCATATTGGGAATAGCCACTATGGCCTACGGAAAGGATAGAGTATTCAGGGAAAAGTGGTAGCTGGTGGAAGTAACAGAGGGAAAATAGGCAAAAAGTGAGAGAAAACAAGAGAGCCAACCAACAAGGCAGGAGCAGACTAAAATGGGGGGCATATAAAATGAAGAGGTGGGGATTTAAAAAAAAAGAAAAAGAATGGTTGCTGAGGCAAGCGATTTATTCAAGCTCTCCCGCTCTCTCAGCGTCTGTGGTTGTGTAGTTAATGGGAAACATTTCTGCCACAACCAAGTCAGTGGCATGTCCAGGAACATGAGATGGAAAGACAGACAAGCCGGAGAGATGGAAAGCAAGAGGTATGTGTGTGTGTGTGTGTGTGTGTGTGTGTTTTAGTGAATACGTAGAAATTGGCAAACAAGGATGCGTATGTCAACTTTATACACAATCTGTTCCTGATGATGTAGATACATACGGTATATGCAGTATGTGTATAACAATTTTTTGGTTGCTCACTTGTCTTGTGATTCTATGTAGACATACAGATGAGGCTCGAAGCACTTGGAAACAATGCCATGGAAAGGATTCTCAGGAGCCTTGGGTTTTCTGGGCTACAGGAATGTAAGAAACACAGGCATTAATACAAATGACTCCATATGGGCCGGTTACTTGTTACTTGGTTAAAAAAAAAAAAATCCTAATAACAGAAAATCTAGGTTTCAATTATTGCTAAAACTGTCCGTCTCCAGTATTGTGCTTTTCTCTTATTTTTTTGAGAGGGCTTGTAAACGGCTGCAATATGATTGGCTGATTGCAGAGATCACTTGATCACGTTGCCAGTCACCTCTCTAAAATCAACGAGAGGCCCGACACTTTCTTTTCCTCCCACTTGGCTGAGCAGAGAGGGGAAGGGTGAGCAGATTCAGGGAAAGGACAGAGAGAGAGATGCCACAAGGCAACTGCACTAACTCCGGCATACTTACTGATTTGCCTATTAATGTGCATTCTCCCTCCTCCCAAAACAATCTAATCATTTTTTTTAATGTTTTTTTTTCTTTTCGTAATTTTTGAACATTTTTTTTAACTTCTAAAATGTTGTAAATATTCTTAAGGGTTTCTGTGAATGTGTTTATTTCTTGTATTTGTATGGTTGTTTCGTAATTTTGCTACGTTACTTTCGCTTCTGAACGTTATTAATTGTTCTGTTTGTAAATGCTTGTTGTGTTGCTGTGTCTCTGTTTGCGTGAAGTGCATTGAGTTACCAAATGTTTGAAATGTGCTTCTATATAAATAAAGCTGCCTTGCTAAATTCAGAGATGGGCTTCCCATCCCTGGGATGGAAAGGTCTTTCCAACATTTATGCAGCATAAATAAGACAAAAGAACCCAGTTCTTAGGAAAGATATTGATTAGTTGTTATTGGAGCTTATCTCACCTTTGCAAGATCCCCATCTTTGCCATCCTTCTCACTACCCTCATCTTCACCTTGATCGTCTTCCAAGAAAGGATTAGAGGGCTCTAAAGGGCTCTCTGGCCTCTTCTGCTGCTCAAAATAAAACAAAACAAAACATATTTTGGTAATATGTATAATTGGAGAAATACAGTTTAGTTCAATGTATGGAAAATTCTTACATTAAGGATAATGTTTACACATAGCCCATTTTCATTTCAAGTCCTTTATTTCACTTCTAATGATGAACTCATCCTGCAAAATTGTATTGACCAAATGCCAAATGACTATTTTCTGCAGTGCACCTGTTCAACCTAGTTGGGATTTTGTGGGGCAAAAAACATTTCGAATTTTATTCTTAGGCAGTCCTGCCCTGCTCTAAATGGAGAATGAAAATTCTGTCTGACGTAATCACCAACAGAAGTCTGCCTGTGCTTGTTCTTACCACAGGGGCATCAGTCAATGTGCATCCTGTGAAACGTTTTGCCAGCAGACCTTCAAAGTTTGTCGTCCTCTGAATGGCAAACAGAAGCAGTTTCACTTCAATCTCCTTGGCTCGTGTTCTCATTACTTTGGAAAGCTCCACTCTTTTGGGAAAAAAGATGCACATAGAAGTTGACACATAAAAAAACAAACTGATGCAATACTTGCACTTTTATTGAGGTACATTGGTCCCCCGCAACTTGCAGGTGATACACACCAAGCCCTAACCTGAATAGGTCAGTGAAAGGGATTTATAAATCTACCTGGTGATGTGGCAGAATTCCACTGCAATACGCTCTGTCATGCACCACTCCTCTGGAAACATGCGTCCATATTTTTCTTCATAGTCGACTAGTTGCCGCTTGATCCAAGCATAGCGGCGATCAATCTTGTCTAGCCATGCAACCTAAAACATTTGGTTAAGTACTTTTTCAAGCATCCTATAATCCAAAGTCACATGTACTTTCAAGCCTTGATACCAAACTTTATTAGTGGGTAATCTTTGTTAATGAGCATTTACTCACATCTTGGTTTTCTTGAAAGAGCACAAGGTACTCTGAGAGATGCTGCCGGATGAACTTTTTAATTATCTCGAGTTTGATGCGTGGATCAAGAACATTTACAACCAGACAGGCATCCCTCAACACATTACTTGGCCCACCGGGCCTCTGTGGTGAGGAAAAAAAATAAAGATCAAAAACACTGTTGCTTTTATTTTTATAAAGGAGAATGAACCTCAAAGAGTCTGAAAACACATTTTGAAAAGCTGACGTGTTTACCTTGGAGCCCTGGGATGGGAATGCTTCTTCAAAATCTGCCAGTATCTGAGTGCCCAACTCACTTTGTGCTGCTTTCACTCTATACAAGTCAAAGAGCAAATTCACAGTGGAAGTGTCAGAGTTGTACAAATGTGTCATATTCGTCTATACAGCCATTCACTAGCCATTTGGTCTGAAGCTGTATGAAAGATTTGTAAATGCAAATGAAAGACTCAGACTCATCAAGTCATCCTGTCAATCTCAGTGTCTTGTTTCAGACCGATAAGTAGAATTCCTTCAAAGTCTGAAACACACGTTAGCAAGTCTTGTGAAATTTTGGTTCCACAAGTGTGTTTTGCTTCTTTGGTTTTTGTGATGTTACCACAAGAGGGTTACCGGTCATCGCAAAGAGCAAGAAATGGAACTTGGAGGGGGCTGTACAGTTTTAAATTTTGTTTGTCCAATCTTCAAATCTGTACTGATACATTTTAGGAGCTTAATTCACATTCAGTCTTATTCTGTGTTTCACAATATTACCCTGTTCTTGTTGGTTTCTCTGCATTAATTACTTCCCCCGCTCATATTTCTTTTCTGGTTGTTTTAAAGTGCTCTATAAATACAATTGAGTTGAGTCCCATCATCTGTTTCTCCTGAAGTTACTCCTTCCGTGCAGCTGTTCTTTGGTATTCAACGCTATCTGCCACACCTCAGTCAAAATTGAACAGATGGCCATTTTCCCGATTAGACGGATCAACACTACTCTGAACCCGGAGTTAGACACATTCCATCTGATGCTATAGCTGCTGTAAAAATGACTGATTAGCCATACAAGATGCATCATCAAAAATGATTCTGCAATACAGTAGACATGTGAGCAACTATGCATTAGGTATATGTGTACGAGTATGAGGTACCTCTCAGAGAGCTGTCTGATCTGAGGTATGCCCATATACTTGTGGAAGTGCTCAAGTACTTTTACAACTCCTTGCAGGAGATTGGCCACCTCACCGTACTGCCTTTTTCTCGTCATGGCCCTGGAACACACACAAAGATGCCTGAGTTTATTTCAGTGTGTCATTGTCAATGTCTTCATTTCTGGATTTAAAAGACAATAAATGAAAAAGAAAAAGAATCACTCAAATGCAAAATTAAATGACGTGTCGGTCCTGACACAAAAAAAAAAAAAAAAAACAATTTAAAGTCCCAGCTTCAAATCATAAGGATGCACACAATAATGTTTGTCATCAAAAGCTTACTTTTCTAATGGTCAGAACTAACAAATCGGTTCGGAGGTGTCTGGAACAGTGATCAGAATTTACTGCATCATAGCAAATATTCGTTCAATTGGATGATTTAGCTGGAGTTTATATCTGGAATAATATAAGTCTGGAAGCGGGTCCTCGAGCTAAAAGAGAGGAACAAATCAAGTCCCACATAGGCTCAATACAGATTGGTTAAAAAAAAACAAATATGATTCGCGGTATTATGCATGCTATGCAGAAAAAAACAAAAACATAATTATACAAATTTCATGTCACATGAATTTGTTCTGCACACGTTTGCTAATAAATCAAATGTGTCTGTATGTGCAATACAGGTGTACTCACTCTAAAGAGTCCACGCCTCCTGCTAACATATGCAGGTGGTTCAGTGTGGTGATAGATGTAGTAAGATGGCGCTTGGCATGGTCCAACTGCTTTATGTCCCTGGTAATCTCCTTGACCTAAAGGAAGAAGGAGACAAGCTACCCACTGTTTTTATTATAATCGATGGAAGGTGCTGAATGCTGTCAGTGTGTGTGCGTACATACCATTTGTTCAGACTTCTCTGCCTTGTCCTTGATATCTTTGATTTTTCCAAAGAGCTGCTGAATTGCTACTTGGGCCTCTTCTAAAGCCTGTAGAAACCACGTTTGTCAATATTAAAAATAGAACATCCGTTATTTAGGTGTTTTGAAAACTAACACTAAGAGCTGCGAGTGGACCTGTAAGCATGTTTGAACTGCAGGGAGTCAATCATCAATTCACATTTCACAAATAAACATGCAAAACACAGAAAAGCGTGTTCTTTACAATGAAACCATCTCAATCACATCATCGCATCACATCATTACATCATCAGTTACAGGATCTGTATGGACACTGGACACTGAAAATCAAGTTATCACACACTATCGATCTAAACTGTTGAGGTGATCATAAAACTGAGTCCGTTATTATTTTGATTTGGTTTCAAGTAGGTCAAGGTTAGGGTAATTTACCACATAATTCAGTCTGTTGGGAAATGGGGTGATTTGCTTTGGCAGTGGGCAGCAGCTCTGGCACCATGTACCGTTGTGGTCGCTACGGCATACAGAGTAATGTTGACAATATTCTAAACTATGACATATAGCTGGTAGCCATAATTGGCCGAAAGTACATGAGGTTGTGAGCTAAATAGGCAGCGATTTAAATAAGTCCAGCATCACTTTTGTTATGAATGAAACAACATTTGAAATGTTCCTTTATCCTTTTTCTTCGATCCTAAACTGGATGGGTGGTTGTGCGATGGTTGGTTCAACTACAATCCTGCGATTAAAAGTCTGGGACTGATGTGTTGAGATCACTTTTATTCACTCTCACCGCAAGCTGTAGCTCCAAGTGAAAAATGATCCTTGTAATCCTGCCTGTAATGTCAGGCTTAGCCTAATTGGCCAACCGGGCACCAACTCAATTGAGGCAAAGGGCCAAGAGACAAAGCTAAACATGACGACCGTCACATAAACGTTTCAATGTATCAAAGAGATAATTTGCAATTCTGAGAGCCAATAAACTACATACCCTATTTACATCATTTCTAAGAGCTTCTCAGTTGCCCAACATTCCCTCGAAATAAAGAAACGTCAAAAAAAATCTGGAAAAAGGAAGGTAAACTGCATGTCTGCTATTTGATCTGGCAGTTGGAATTCCACATCATTTCGAAGAGCTTCTCAGTTGGTGATCTTAAAGAAAATCTGTCCATCCTGAGGAGCCAAGACTCTTCAAGGTTGTAATCGTCAGTCATGCAGACTCAGCCGAATCAATCTGGCCCGCTGCCTAGTGCTCATTTCCTGTATTTATCCCAGAGGAAAGCAAAGGGAGACCACTGCCCAACAGGCGCCTCCATGCCCGAGATGCTATCTACCTTTCCACACAAACACAACTGTGTATCCCTTTTAACATGAAATAAGCAGCACCTACTGGGGTATTTTGAAGGGGGGAGAAAACCTTCTTCAAAATGCTTAAACAAGCCAGACAAGTCATCAACTCTCCTTCACATGTACAACAGTAAAATGAGTACAAAATGTGTCTCAAGTTTAGTTAAAAACAACAAAAATTAAACAACCAAGTGGAATTATATTAAGAGTTGAAACATTTCCCTAGTTGCATAGTGTATCATGCAACGTTGTTACACTAAAAAGGATTACTACTAAAACTATATATATATATATATATATATATATATACACACACACACACACCACACACCGGTATACATATGCGCAATGAGTCTGCAAAGGCGATCTAAGCACAGTTGCAGTTGATAGGCTTCTTTTCTTTTAAATCCCTACATATAACTGAAAAACGAATGCACCATGCTTGCTTGTGTCCCAGATGTTACTTTAAATGACAAGTGCAGAAAACACATTGTTCGAAAGGCTTAAAAGAACTGATTCAGTGTCAGAATACAGAAATAAATGGATCTGTCAAAGTCAGCGAGCGGGGATGAAAAGTGTGGAAACTAAAACAGCCTCTGAACTACTTTTTTTGACAATATGAAAAATTTAGATTTTACATAAAATATTAAGGTGAAGCTTTTTTTGAGGGGGGTGGGGGGGCAAAAGGTACCTCAACATTTTTGTTTGTTTTAACCACACCAGACATAAAAGAAAGAGCAAACACAAGTGGAAAATGCGGACGAGGGAAGGACATAATCCAAGACATGCAATTAGCAAGCAGTTTATGTACATCATGCCAGCATTTTCACCTGCACTAGAAATAGCATGTTTACTATGATTTTGCAGTAGCTAATCTGTAATGACGTGGGCTTTGGTGCCAGAGTGCCCCAGCTCAAATCCAGCTCCATGTTATGGTGCCCATAAGCAAGGCATCATCTGCACCCTTGCAGCACTCTGTACACCCCTTTGACTCTGACGTCACTCCTTGCATGTTTTTGTGTCGTCTGTTCGCTGTGTGCCGTGCAATACAAAATGTGTAGCAGTGTGTGAGGTGAAGTGCCCCTTTGGGATCAATTGCGCAGAAGTCACACGTGTGAAGGGCCCTTCCCAGTGGGGTCATCATGCTTGGCCAAACAGCTAAACATCAAACGTGAAAGTTTGTCACTGACCTCTGAGCACAAGGATTTAAAAACCAGACACATCAGAATTTCATGGCCTATCACGGACCACCAGGATAAATGAAGCCAGAAGTATGCTGGTTCGTCATGAGGCCATCTGTGGTAAGAGCAGTTTGAAGGAACTTTGGGGACCGGTGACACTGTAAGACTGACCCCGGAGGAATAGCAGAATAGGGCATGTGTGGGATTCTATTCCAGAAAGATAATGAATGCAGTAATGGAAGTAAATTTCAGTTGTATTTCCGATAAGGCACACATTTCAAAGAGCTTGACTTTTTTATGTCATGGTCAGTGCACAGTTTTCTGTTTTTAAACCAACAGACTAGGTTCAAACCCAGGTTAAGGGTACTCCTCCTCAGACTTCCATGACAACACTCAACTATCATGAATCCTATAGCACAATACAGCCAACTCCCGGTAGTTCTTAAGAGTTATCTTCTTCAGTGTCAACTAACGGTCACATTTCTCTTGCGGCAGACAACATTGCTGATTCTATTGCGGCTATTATGTCTCAATCTTCATCCTAAAAAGAGCACCTCTGCTTCTTTCCATCTGTCGAAAAAAAAATTTCCCTCTGGAAATGTTGGAATTGCTTCGTGGCCTTGGAAAAACAACCTCAAGTTATTGTGTGTGTGCAACCTGATAATGTTATTCGTCTGGGGTTGGACTAAAGTCTTTCCGCTTCCAAACAGTAGCAACACTGGAAAAGACATGGCCACCACGGCAGACACCCAGAAGAATTCGTACGCCAAATGAAGTCTACGTTTCAGAACTTTCATGGCTCAACCTTCAGGTGTCATGTTCCTTTGAAACCACAAACCCTTAACTGGGAAAAGGCTTGAATGAAATATGCACGGGCAGCTCTTTTCCATCATTTTCTTACAATAAAGCCTGGGGTTATACTAAAAGAAGTATACACAAGGGGATATATTTCCCAGACATGTTTTTTTGAAACAGAAAAAAGTAGAGTTTGCGCAATGGGGATGAATCTGAGTCATCATGTCCTTTTCCGTGGATTGCAGTGGAGACAAATGAAAGGGAAAGCAAGAAGGATCTCTGTTTTTCCAGAGATGAGAGTATCCACAGGTTGCATCGTAACTCCAGAAGATGAACAATGTTGGGGGCACTTTCATTTTTCTAGCGTGTGTGTGTGTGTGTGTGTGTGTGTGTGTGTGTGTGTGTGTGTGTGTGTGTGTGTGTGTGTGTGTTTTGAAGGTGTTGAACATTGAATTGGATGGTACTCTCCCCAATTATTGCATTGCGGCCTTTTTTTTTTTTTTTAAACGAGGTCAAATAACCGCAATGTGAAATTTCATTTCTGAATTTTTGTGCCAATTAAAAGGATTATTTGCCATTTGGTGTGTGGTCTAGGACATGAAAGTTAATAACAATGCAATAAGTGTAATGCAACATAATAGCTCATTCACTGGCAGAAGTAAGTGCCCTTTAAGGCTGAAAGTAACAAATGCAAAATTTAACGAGACAACTCACCTGCCTCCCATCCTGCCCCACATTGGTTTGACCCCTCACCACTGTCCTGATGTTGTCATCAAGGCGCCTACAAAATGTAACACATGATTTGAACATTTAAATACATGCATCCACATATTATTTGTAATGACAGAGTCGGCAAGAAAAAAAATTGAGATCAACTGACCTGATTTTCAGACGTATCTTGTTTACCACATCATCAATATTAGCAAGGGACTAGGGGGAAGAAAACAAAAGCAGACATCAAGTGATTATGGTTAGGATTAAGAAGCAACACTTAAACTTTTAGCATTCAAAAACGTCATCTTTCCATGCTATATTTATATGACCCTGTTTCTTTAAAACGATTTCTGTTAAATCCTTCAATAACTTAATCTTGCTGTTCCATTTCTGTTTTATTGGTTTACAGAGCCCCCTCATGGAAATATAGCATACCTACACAACAAGACCGGTCCAATGTTTGAAAGGATTTTCCATCCATCCAAAGAACAAATCGGCTCGAACTTCATGCTCTTTTTTTTTTTTTAAACATTTTATTTCAAATCTCTCTGGCGGCTCTTTCTTCTATTCGACTATGTATGTCAATAACTTTGCCAGTATGCCAGTTTTGTAATTTGAGACATTCAATAAAGATTATTCAATAATAATAATAATAATGGGTTACTACACCGTGCTTTTACCTGCTCGGTCGGAAACAATGTGTTGATATATTCCACCGCATTGAAGTCTGCTTTATCAAGCGGATCTTGACTTGGAAATACCTTGAAAATACGACAAAATCAATTTGGTCAACGTGCCATACTTAATATTCATTAATACAGTATTCAAATAGCTAATGTAAAACAAACCGACAACGGTTTGTCTCGGCAATTCAAATAACCCCATCTTATTGAATTAGCTCGTTGACGTTTATCTGTGGATACAAACATAAGCACTGCAAACGCATATATAAAGTACATTCGGCCGACTTTTCAGTCGGTATAACTAAATAATAAACACACAATACTGCTAGTGCTACGACCAGCTGGTACAGGGTGACACAATCTCGTCATTTGGTGGCAAAATCCGTCAACAATGCGGCTGAAGCAACTCTTTATTTTCAACCCCCGAAACGTTACCTGTTCAATCGCCAGCTGGACCTCTGGTGTGAGATGCAAAATTGCCTCCAAATCATCGGCAAATTCAAATTCTTCTTCCTCCATCATTGTCAAAACATTTACCACTTCAAGTGCCTCCCACTTCCTGGTGAAAAGGCTTCTGGGATAACTAATGACGCAGCTCGTGGTGCGTTCACGACTATCAGGGTAAAAATAGATTCCTTCAATCAACCGACAGTTCATCGTGCATTACGATACCCATTTGTGTGAAATTTCTTGATTCGTTCGTTAGTTAGTCCACATTAATTGTCCACCAGTATTATCCTCCTAGTAAGCAACTGTTAAGTGGAGAACTATTATAATTACCTGTATATGAAATTGCTTAAGAAGTATGTTTCTGTGGTTTGCAGGCTACAACTTCAGATAATATTGTAAAAATGAATGTCTTCCTTTCACCCATTTCCACACGCTAATTAGATTTGGGTAACACCAGCAACAACGTATGTAGTTTTAAATCGGATGTTTTCGTCCCCATTCAGCGTTTCAGTATTTATCATTGTCACTCATATAAACGTTTGTATGAAAAAAAAAAGACATGCATTCTTCTAAATAATGAAGGTGGAACCATTCATTTTATAAGTTAATTGTTAATTTCATTTTTTAAAATGTAAATGTTCAATAAATTTTAGTTATAATTTATTTTTTATAGTAGAATCAGTGAAAAGCCACCGATGTTCTACTGAGCAACATTTTATGAATTGTTTTACATCTTGCTTTAACCAGGTTAGGACTTGACTTGCTTGATTTTTATTTTATTTTATTTCATTTTATTTTCACAGTAACTTGAGACTTCGTTGAGATTTGAAGGTTGCCACTTAAGACTGACTTGTGACTTGAACATGTGTGACTTACTCCCAACTCTGGTAATTGCTGTTATGACTTGCTTTTTGAGAAGCTTTTTGAATTTGAAAAATAAAATGCTGATATCATATTTTTTTTCATGAGGAATTTGAACCCATCACATTGTTGTCGGTCGAACATGGTCCCTTCTTCTGCCACATTCATGATTTATTTCCATTAATAAACCTGTCTTGGTAAACAGCGGAACCATCATATTCAAGAGCACTCAGGAGATGATTCATAGACACTAAATGTGATGCATCGACATATCATCTGAGCCACAAATCCTCTTCATGAAGAGAAATACTGAAGTTTAAATCTGTTTCCTACAACCCTCTGGGCATCCACATGTAAGCACCACTGCAATATGACAGCAGTGAGTCTGATCTTTTATGTCTCATGATGTCACAATACGCACGATTGAAAATAAAACAAAAACGGCAAGTGGACCCAAATGAAGAGTAAGCTCTTTTAGTTGCGGACAGAAACTTTTGAAATTACAATGTAATAACTATCAAACTGACACGGCAGGAACAACACCGCGTGCCACCACAACAAACGAGGGCTTTGACAAATCACAATCAGATAGCCTTAGTCAGAGTAGGACACAGAGAGTTGCAACACTACTGCCTTCTACATGTAAGATGTGCTGAAAACATTTTCTCCCTAAATCATCAGCAGCTTCAGGCATAATTCACGGTTTGGAAGGGGACTGAAAGGATTTTGAAATTGGATGCATCAGGCTTGCAACGTGACTGTGGGGGTTGGGCTTTAAGTACCTCAGAAAGGGAAAATGGGAACTTTCAAAGTTGAAATCCTCCAAAATGCCGTGGGTGACAAGATTTACTGGTTTGTTGGGTTGTAAAAGTTTCAAATTAATGTTGTTGTATTTGCTTGTACATAAATTTGGGGGTAAAAAGCTTAAGCCTCGTGAGTAACCAATGACTGTCACCATGCAAATAACTGCCAACAGGAATGTATGTGGCAGCCATTTTAATTCTCATATTTACCCTCAAGCAAACCTCTTATCATCTTACTGAGGCCATCCAATTTTATTGGGCTAAAATGTCTCTCCAGATGATACTCTACTTAGCCTGAGATCCTGAGATTTGTTTTCCCCAACTAGAGGGGAAAAAAGGAAAAAAAGTATATTTATATTTTCGCTTTCATCTCTCTCTCTCTCTTTCTCTCTCTCTGTGTATATATATATATATATATATATATAAAAATGTATATATATGAGGCGGCTGGATAGCTCAGTTGGTAAGGCATCGGTTTGGCGTACGGGAGACGGTGGTTCGAATCCCGCCTGGGGCAAAAATGAGCACATTCCAGTTCATTCATGCATCTCATCCCTGTTGTGGATTTAGATGGCCAGTTGTCTGACAGAGTCATCAACTAATCTCTCTAGTCACACTGTTCACAGTGCAGCAATAACTGACAAACAGTATGAAAAAAAGTAGCAGGCAGTTCTCCTCAAACATCATTGTGGGTGAGGAGCTGATGCAGTAAGTACCCACAAAAAGAAAAAAAGTAGATGCATGCCACCCCAAAAGAATCTTTAAAGTTGCAGCTTCCAGAAAGCTTTCTGATCTAACCTGAACCAAATATGTCTTCTCACGTCGCACCAAAATCTAAAAGAAATATTAGTCACAAAGTCTACACAAATCACACCACTCAACCGTGAAGGAAGATATATATATATATATATATATATATATATGTATATAAAACCATAATTAAATTGCATTACAATGCCTACTTGCTCTGTATTATAAGCATGACAAGCTCTTGACAGGCTGATAATACAACTTTTATCAGCCTGTAATAATATTAAGGAGCAAAGCAGTATTTTACTATCACAAGCTATTTGGATAATGGATGGATAGATATCCATCATGGTGGATTTATTTGTTGTGATGAGAAAAAGAATCAGAGCGATTGCTCATTTTATGTGCACAACAAATTCTGCCACAGGGATGTCAGCTTTGTAATTGTCTCAGCAGCAGGTAAATGTAGACTGGGTTTTTTTTTTTTTTTCCAAATGTGGAGCGTAGGTGGAGGACTCCAGCTATGGCACAAATGAACTATAGTAATCACTCAAAAATCCAACTGAAACTGTTGAGCAATATTTTTGGCTCACAGTTAGCTCACTGGTTCACGGCATCAAGCGTCGGGCCGAAAATTAGCCGAGAAAGGGCGAAACACTTGCGTTTACTTTGTTCGTCAAACAAATTGATAAAGGGGCTGTCTGCCTGTATTTGTTTTAAATATATATTTCTGTTGATCGCCGTGACTGATCTTTTTCTCGATGCTGTTTGTATTCATGGAGGTGTTATAAGCCAGGAAGAATCAAGGTGCAAAAAAGAAAATCCTCGCTATAGATATGAATTGGGAATTTCTCCATTGCGAGACTAATAAAGGTTTCCTTATCTTATCTTATCTTATAGCGTTTGGGGAAAAAATGACGTGTTGAATGTTTGTCCCTCTTCTTCACCTATACAAAGTGTGAATAGTGCCAGAAAAGAGGTTACAGTATGTTTCGAATGGACACATTTATTGTTTGCCATTGGTGGAGAGCCATTATCGTGTCACTTGAATCCATGTGTGTCCTCTTTGTATTACACAGTTAATCATATTTTTTGAAAATAAGAGAGAATGAAGAATACCTCAAGGTGAATGACAGGAAAAATATATATCCCGGTAGTATGAATTTCTTTGTAGGAATGTATTCTTACGTTTTAGTCATTTGTGGCATACGTAACACCTCCTTATAAATTGAAATCTGGCTTAGTTCCACCATATAGACTAATGTACGCCACTCATATAGCTTTACCAAGTAATGATTCAGGAAAACTTAAAATTCACATTAGTATGGTTCCAACAGTTCCAAAGAAAAAGACATTGCAACAGAACTGATTTTCAGGAAAAATGCTACTCACAAATGACAATTAAAAATATGCCCCAAAATTACCATAATAACCAAACTCAGTCAAGAATAGCTCTGAAGAATAATGAGAAGAGTGGAAGCTATTTGTAATATTTGAAACATGGGACCAACTATTGTATGTTTTCTTCAATTTCATTTCATATAAAGGCAGTGACCATGTGGCCGAATACATCCATCCATCTAGATTGTGTATTCCATCCATCCCTCCATCCATCCATCCATCCATCCATTTTCTCATCCGCTTTTTCCTCATAAGGGTCCAGGGCGTGCTGGAGCCTATCCCAGCTGTCTTTGAGCAGCAGGCAGGGTACACCCTGAACTCATTGCCAGCCAATCAGATTGTGTATTACAAAATAAAATATAACTCATCGATAAAAAAACAAGAGGGATTAGTTTATGTGTTGAAGAGTCACAAAGGAACTACTTCACTTCCATTGGCTTTTTATTTTCTGAACAGGCTGCTACCGTATCTAATCAGGAGCTGGAATGACCGTGATTACAGTTAAATATTGATGAGTATATTACATCAGTGTAATTTGCTGACAGACATCCCTCGTTCCAGTTGTCAGATGAATCTGGCCTCAAGCAGTTGCCTTGACTCACAGTCACAAAACACAATTCATCGGTTGAGATTTTTAAGAGTTTGAAGACAATCTAATTTTGGAATTACATGCAAATGAACTCAATGGGGGTTCTTGTAAATTGAAATGACTTATGGTGTTGTGCGATAGCCGTTTAGTGAATAAACAACTTTATACTTGACTTCCCTTCTGTGTCAATCCGCTTTGATGAATCAGGTCTTTTCATTATCCAAATGTCTTGCCACCTTATTGTATACTGTCAGACCATGGCCACAAGTTGATAAGCAATGGTATTTAAAAGCAACTGTGGCTTCTCCAGTATTTTATTTTAAAAACTTGTACCGGTACTATCGTGAAAAAAAAATAACGTGTAAGCACAGAGATTGATTTAACCTTCAGATATTTGGAATACGTTGGGTCATTCAGCATTCAATATTTGCTCTGCTGCTTTTCAAAATTTCCTGCTACCTCTAGAGTGTTGCACGAATGCCAAGACCTGGGATGAGAGCCTTGTAAAGCCCGAAAACAGTATTTTGATGATTAGCAACACAGTGGGAGATTCTGAATTTGAACGTCAGCTTGTCTCCTTCCATGTGAAGTTTGCATTTTCTCCCCGTGCTTTTGTTGGTTTTATCCGGGTCCTCCTAATTTTGCCCGTAGTTTTGAATGCAAGTGTGAATGGCTCTTTGTCTACCAGTAGTGCCTTTTGATTGACACTTGACTTGCT